TTGAAACAGCTAATCCTATATCCATTAATTAAAAATAGGTATTTATAATCTAATCAATTTTTATTTAAATATGTTTGTATATATATTTTTTCTTGATATCTATTTTTCCGATTGTTAATTCCAGGCGAGGGAATTGATAGTAATGGAAATTAGCCAATATATTTCACAATAAGAATGAGATAAGATTTTTTTTATTTAAATAATTGATTTACAAGCACGTTTGAACAGTCATTTTTTTTTTTAATTCTACTGCCATTCGAAATACAATTTCAGTTAAGAATGGAAGACTCAGTAATTTTACTATTCATCATCATCATATCAACTTTTAACTATCCACTGCTGAAGATAAGCGTCCCCCTTAGGAGGTTTTGCCAGTAGTTACCTGGCAGTATGCTTGGCAGGCGGATTGGCAATCGCAGTTAGACTTTAGAGATATTTTAAGAGGAACGCTGCTGCTCATCCCTCGCCCTCTCTTAGACGCCTCCTACGACACCCACGGAAAAGGAAGGCGTGGCCAATTCTTTACCGGGACTACGCAGCCTTTTAATTTTATAATTATACAGTATGAAATTTATAAATTCCTAGCAAATTACCCTGTCCAATTGCCCTCTATGAAAATCTTCCTAGAAATTATCGTACCTAATTAATGTGAATTCGTCGTGAATCAACTATTCAGACTTCATCCTCGCCTAGTGTCACGATTCTATTTTCATCTATTAATATAGAATAGTATTAGATCCTACTATTTTGTATTTATGGTGACAAAGAATGCCTTACAAATTTAAAAGTCATTAGCTATATAATGTTTCTAGTGCAATAAAGTATAAATAAACTTATAGTATGCTTCGATCGATACCAAATATCCATCAAATGGAAAGCAGTATAGTCACAATTCTTTTAGTGTAAGCCAAAAAAATTGAGGGGCTCAGCTCTCAGGCTCTCATTCGAAATGATCCAGCAGAGTAAACAAATATTCGAAAATAAATAAGGCTTTATATGTACCCGACTCCAAGCTTTCGGCTGCCGTCGCGTCGCCTCTACAATATTCCAGAGAACACGACATGAACGCGACGAGACAGCGTCAAGAGGCCTGATTTATGTGTGCTATTATTTTTGTGAAAGCGTATGCTACATAAGTACATGCTATCCGAACGAGCCGTAAATGCAGCTTATTATTAGGAATATTCCTTCTTATCCTCGTTTGTGTTTATGACTGCGCGCCGACAACATTTCGACTTATCTCACGCTATTTTCTTAAATCGTATTTTCACTTATGGCGTCCTAATTTGTCATAAAATTATCACATAAATACAATAGAGCCTATTTCTGTATTTTTAACCAACAATAAATGTCTTTGAACAAATTGGTGCAACCCTTATAAAATTAAAAATTTAATTTGGCCAAGCAGCTTTTTTCGATGGATGATAATGGAATGGTAACCCCGCCTACACTATCGTTATGCGTTGGCGGGCTACCAGTGATGGGTAATATACGAAGATGAAAACAGGTCAGATAGACTATCGTGACCAACTCATCAATAATTAATCACGATGGTTTCCAAGGAGATCCACCTAATAGAGTTTATTACTGGTAAAGGAGCCGTGAGACCCCATTCATTACTATCAATCCCTTTCCCTCCAGTACTATGATGTTTATCCTCCGTACTTCCTAAATTCAATGCCATATGCAAATATAGCTGCTAAACAGTAGAAACACAAGTGACACTTAAATAGTCAATTAAACAATTTACGTATAGTCTCCCACGTAATAGTATAACACAAATAAAAATACTACGGAATCAGAAGCAGATATTCTTCCTCCTTGTAGTTTCTAGAATAGTGTTACACTTGTAGCGTCGATCTTCTAAGGCGAATAATACTGCTAAATCTTTTAAGGTTCCTCCCTAATAATTGTCCTTAGGTACATTTAAGATATCTGCTTTTATGGTTACAATAGAATTTTGTTGGCACCGGTTCTACATACCGAAAATAGATACACCTACACTGACCACATGCAGATTTTTAGGACGATCTTAGATTTCAGAAACCAAAAAACGAGTACTTTATCATTTTCTTTATAGACGATTGTACTCCGCCAGCGTAATTACTTATCAGTGCAACAGCTGTTTTAAAGAGGGCTAGGGTAACCCGATGCAGAAATCCTTAGGACCACACAGATATATATATAGATAGACCACAGATTCTATATATCAGCATAATAAAATATTATGCTATAATTATATTAAAAATCGTATACTATTTACATATATCTAACTAGGTAATATAGTCATATAAGTGCAACGAGTAAAACGAGAAACGTGTTATAAATATATTTTACATTATTAATAATACAAATTTGTTCTAATAACAGTTTTACAAATATTATATAAAAATAGATTTTTTTATTAAATTTGATACCTTTATTCAGGTATAAGTAGTAGACCCACCATTTAACGATCAAAGCGTATTTAAAGTACCTACCTTAATTAATGTTCCCAGATCGCTTCACATTGAAATGAAAAGTTACCGGTGAAAGCGCGAACCACAGAGGCTTAAGCACCACGGCATCAAAGGAAAGCCTTAATTAGCGAACAATAACCCAATAACCTGTTTAAACGAGACGTTGCTTAACATTGAATCTACTAATAATCAGTTTAAATTAAAAATAATAATTAGAAAAAGTAACAAAAATATTTAATTACACTAGACTTATACATGACAAGTTTATCCTTAAAAATGACAAGGCATACCATGGGCGTCACCGTGTATTTTGCGCTTTTAAAGTCTATAAGCGATGGTTACGATTTTTAATCTCACAGATCGCCATTTTATCTTTTTTTGCATATAAAAATTGTGAAATACAATAAGCCTTTGTTAATGAACTTATTGTTATTCACTTTTTTATACCACCTTAACAAGTAACCTTACTTCAATGACCCATTAACGCCCCACTCATGCCCATTGTTTCCCTGAATAAGAATATCACAAACAATAAATTCAAAGAAGTAGCAAAATGTTTAGGTAAATATTTTTTTTAAATTCATTTTTCATTTATTTTGTTCAAAAAGTCAAACATTTTATTTTAAGCTAAAGAATTTATATTATCTTAAGCTACAGAGTATGCCTGATTTAACGTCGCACGAGATATCGATTTTGCCATCATCGGCCACCGACTACGAAATGATAACAATGAAATCGACTTTTACAGGCTCAATAAACGGGTTCGTAACGGCCTTCACGTATTAGCGTTATGGAAAACGGATTATGTAATCTGTTGATGGACTGCTACGACCTGCCTGTCATTTTAACCTTAACGACCGACCTTCCAAAGCTTAACTTGATAATTTACCAGAATCTTTTGGATCACGAAGACTTACCTACTCATTTTTAACTCAAACTTCATTTTAAACTCACAAAGTAAAAGATTGTATATCTCTAAGATGAGAGACTGCATCATTATACCAGTTATTTAGACTATTGTTTCTTCTTCCTTTAATGGGCTATGTAACATCTAATTACTAACAGTATACCCTATCAAGTCGACCTGAATTCAATTTTCCCTGAATTCATAATGAACTAACTGACCTGTCATCATCTTTATCTAACATTAAACACTGGTGTCTTGTCAAAGTATTCCATCATTCCATTTTCACCCGTTAAAAAATGGATGTAACATCAGTGGTGGATTTATCAGTAAGTTGAGTAGGTAACTTCTTCTTCCCTTTGAGCCCCACACACATCAGTTTCTTTCAATTTTTACTATTATTAGATTTAAAGATATTTGCATTAAATTATAACATAACAATATCCATTATAATTCTTAGAAATACTTACTAGTATGTAAAAACATAATAATAACTGTAACCACTGATATGCAATAGGACTAACACAAAAGCCAGTAACCGTTGTAGGAGTGCAAAGGACAAAATTTGCGGTCTAGGTTTTGTTCAATGAAAATGGTTGATCTCAGTACCACGGTCGGTAGTTGCCGACTCCCAACCATTGTCATTACTCTCATTGTCTACTTTTCACACAAACGTTTTAATATCTCCAATTGCTTTTTTTAATTCTAAGGAAAAATGCCTAAATATGTTATATAGTCAGTTGGGAGGGAAGGAATTGTTATTAAAACCTTCACGCGGTTTCTCCTGAAAACGATGATGAAATCGTCACGACGAGCTAACTGACTCACTAACTTTTAGCTATGGTCAAGGGATGGACAGCAGCGTTCCTCTTAAAATTTCACCAAAAGCCAAAGTGCGGTTGCTAACCTGTCTACCAAGCATAGCAACCACTAGCAAAACCCTCCTTATGGGTTGACTATATTCAGCAGTAGACAGTTAACGGCTGATACAAAAAAAAACGACTTTTTATGTATGACCTAATAAAATAAAATAGATGATAGAATCTTGTAACTCGGGAATTCAAGATTTTATAACTATGAACCTCGATTTACATTGCATATTTTTCCCGTGAAATGAAATGAAATGAAATTTATTGAAATGAAATTGGTTCAATTATGTATAAGAGGTTAATATATGCAATTTTAGAATACGAGAAATGTCTACCCGAAAATACATATAGGTAGCAAATAAAGTAAATGACAACCTACCAAAATATATATTCAGAAACTTTCTATTACCTATTTATTTCATACCTATACTTACTGTATAATATGAAAAATAATATACTACAGCCGCTATTTCGTATGCGTGGATTTTGGAAGTAGGCAGCCATTTTTTTTTAGACATATCAAGATAAAACATACATAAAATCTTAAATTAGACCTTCAGGATCACAACTATGAATACCGCATTCAATGTGGTGCAGTAGTTTTTGTAACATTATGGTAAAACGAAATAAACAAAAATTCTAAATTAGAGTATAGGTTTTTATTGCTGTTATTAATAGCCTTTATATCAATTTTTATATGAATATATTATATGAATCTAATTAGAACATACTTTAGTACGTTATATGCATAGGCATCGTTTAATTCAGACTAATTTAGTATTTTATTATAATAATAACATTATAATTGTCTATTCTGAAATAAGTTGTGTGTCATATAATATAAAATTTTTCAATAAAGGTCATTAAGGTAACTTCAAATCTTATTTTAAACAGGTCCAGAATAGAACTAAAAGTACTGCCATAAATTTTATTTAGATTTTTTTAAAGATTCAGGAAGCGAGGACGTGATGACCTAGACGTATTTAAATGAGACTGATTTGGAGTGGCGCAAAAAAGGATATTTTGAAAGGAGATGGGGGAGAACTTTGCCCAGTGATGATGCCCCACTATTATGGGTTAATAATAGAATAATAGAATGAAATTTAGAAATAATAATAATACATGTAAAAATCCTACAGTTGTTCTAGAAAACCAATCTTCCTATACAATAACAAACTTACTATTTCATTTATGCAAATAACGTGCTCAACGACGAAGTTTTTCTAAACTCGACATAAGCGACTGGTCATTTCGAAAATTTAGAAAAAATTATAAGCTTAATTAGTTATATATAATTATATTTGTAAGCCTATCAGATGTCAAGCTAATGTGCCTTTCAGGGCAGTTGGTAAATAATGCACATCATTTAATAGCACAATCAGTGTCACATCTGTGTTCTTGTATTTATCAGACCTCTATTCTCGGGACGTCCCAGACGAACATCCCCAAGAGAAATAGAGTTAACATCGTTGAACGTAATTTCTGAAGAGGGTCATCAGGAAGATATAATGCCATTTCTGTACCCTTGATGTCTTTTTAAGTGCGAGCCCACTTAACCCTAACGCAGGGCGGGGACTGATGCTATTCAATGTCGCATCTGAAAACTAATGGAAAAAAATGTTATATGCGTGTAATAATAATAACTATGTATTTTTTATTAATTTCACATGTAATCGTTTCGTTATCGTGTTTATCAGTTCACTTAGGGTTTTCAGTTTATTAATATTCAAAAACAATTAAACAAATCCTTATTATTTAAAGTTTGAATCATCATCTCATCACCATCACTTCAACCATTATCTCTCTATTAATGAACATAGACCTTCCCCATAAACTGTCATAAGACACAGTATAACTCCATGCTATGCATTTGAGGTTGTCACTCTATCCAGTGAAGGGTCGTGATCGCTTCTTGGCCTTATCGGCATTATCTTAGGCAAGATCAAGGTGTAGTGAAGGGTCGTGCTATTTAAAAATTATAAAATTTGAATATTTCGTAATATTCAAGTACTGTTCTGATGTAGCGAACTACATTCTTAGGAAAAAGATATTGTTTATATTGATATATATAAATAATTTATAAAAATTGGCAAAATTTCTTAAAACTTCAATAAAATAAAATAATTTATTGTCCCTCACGCCGATAAATAATCTTACAAATAATTTACTGTAGCGAAAATTTGTTTGATGTAAGAACTAAAATTAAACTACTATCACAAGTGTTACTATTACCTTTGTATTAGATCTATCTATTAATTGTTAGAGGTATTATGCGTCAGAGGAAATTGGATATTAATAGAACTAACTCTAAAGTTTAGAATACTTTAAATTTATGTTAGATGCGAAATCATCATAGGTAATACCCATAGATTATAGTAATACCATTATTTTTGACAATTAACAATCGATCACAAAGTAATCGGACAGAGTTTATTAATTGCTAATTTGTGGGTTACTGTGTGTAAACCTGTCGATTTTGAACATCAATAAATAAATCATGAAACCAAAATGATTATTATCCATTTATGGATTTGAAGATAAAACTGACTATTTTAGTTCGCTAGCAGAATACTTTTTAAATAACCAATAGGAATTATTATAATATTTTTAATTGATTTTGAAAAGTGATAAATAATTACGTCGTTATCATAGTTAGATCTGAAACGGAACGCTCTTAAATTATATTTGAAAAGGACATAATTATGATGTTGCCACACTTCGGTATTTGAAAGCTGGATACGAGAAAAATCCTACAATTTCTTTATTTTACGATGCAATCTTTACTTGATTTTTATTTTTTCTGCGTAATTTATGATTTTACATTATTTCATTATATTTACCATACATGGTTTTAGAATACAAATTAATAAAAAAAGCTGTCATTTAATTAATCTTCTCATTCAAAACTACGAATATTTGAATAATGCACGTATAGTGGCTTTCGTTCCATCACCCTTAATTACTCGAATTAAATGCACATCCAGCAAAACATAGATCGTTACACCAACACCAACTAAATACTTAGTGATTGCAGACGAATCAACTTCTCATTTTTTTGTCTTAGAAGGTGTAGTAAATACGAATTTACGGTGACAGGAAGCGACTACGATGAAATCATAGACCGAAACCAGAGACATCAAACCTATTAGACAAAAAGTAGGAAGCGGAAAGAAACGAAAATGGCAATACTGCCAACCAAATAATGCGCGTTGGTTTTGATTTGACAGTTCACCGCGTCTAACAGCTGTTTTACCAGTCGTGAAGTATAATATTTAAATTTAGTGACCGCACGTGTTTATTTATTAGAAGGAAATTGTACTGTTTTTAGGCCATTCTAACAATGGAAGAAGACGCAACCGTTAAAGGTAAGCAGTTTTAATCTTTACACCTAATTAAATAACATGCATGGAATTTGTGCTTTCATATAGCGTTATCGCTTCAAAAGTACTCACGAACCATGCTTCTGAAGCATGTCCCAAAAACTATATCAATGTTGTAGATTTATTTCCAATTTACTTCGAATATTTAGTTTTAGTTAACCAAGCCTTTCTTTTTGCGCATCATAACACATATTGTTTCATGAGTGTTTTTAAGAAATTGAAATATTTTGTAAATATACCTACGTCTCATTTCGCAACAATGATCTGACCTATTCCAAAAAAAAAGTACACCATTTACAGGAATATAGTAACACAATAACAACATATTCGTATGTTATAAACAACTATATATCATTAGCTAAGAATATATTATTTATTCATTTTAGATATAATTGCTTTGCCATTAATATTGCTAATAATTGAGGAACATAACTCCTTAATTATTAATTTATTTTAAACTAATTTTGATTTTCCTAAAACTGTTACCTTTAAAAATAACATTTAGGTATATAAAGAAAATTTATTGATTTTTTATTGTTATTCTTAAGAAAATGTTACTTTTTTTCTAAACAGTTCAAAGCATAGACAATTTAAACAACTTAAATACTTGCACAAAAAAATTACATATTAAGAAATTATACTATCTTATGAAGTAAAAAAAGAATTTAGTTGACTTTAATTGCCTTTCAAACCTAATAAAACAGATTAAAAAATAAAGCAAAATGTAACTTTTTAATTACTTATAAAGGTTATTATGACCTTTTATTATTTACCACTAAATATTACTATGATTTATATAAAAAGGATGTTAGAATATTATTGAATTTTCAGCGCCTGTTACCCCTTTGCGGCGCAGACTCTCTATTGAACAGACTGAGGACACCAGATCACCTTCTACTCCATTAACAACACCAACTAAGAAAAGAGGTGGTCGACTAGCTACAAAACCACAGTTGGACTTAATTGATGAAAATGGTAAGGAAAGAACAACATAATCTTCATAATTTACTATGAAGATTGTATTGTTCTTTTTTAAGATTTTACATACTCTTAAAAACATAACTTCCTTTCATTTTAATAACCCTCCTTACATAAATTTATATATTTTTTTATCTTCTTCCAACCCTTAATCCCAGCACTATTTAGGGTTGGGTCTCCATATACAATGGCAACAAGTGCTCTGTCCTGGGTTGTCATATGAGTTAAGTTCCATGCTTTCATTTTCTTCTTGATATTGGACCACCATGCCGCTGGTCTGGACATGCCAGGGAAAAGGATTTTCCTGGCATGTCATAGATATATTCATTACAGTTTTTACTGAGGAACTGTCATCTCTTCTCATTATATGGCCATACCATTGAAGCCTACTTTCTTTTAGTTTGTCTGTTATTAGTGTAATTCTGAAAAATCAAACATCTTCATTTTAGCTGTGTACAATTGCTGTTCATGCTTTTTTTCTTGTATTTCCTATTAATATTTAGATAGATTTAGTATGTTGCATTTTATATCATTAACCACTATCACCATACCAACATATTATTATCCCCAGCATACTGTAATTATATATTGTATATATAAAATAATTCACTCTCCATATATATAAAATCAATATATTACTATGTATGTTAAATAGAGCTTGCACTCAAATATTAGAATAATTTGAATATTATTTCAAAATTAATATTTGAATAGTAAATCAGTGCTATTGGAATATATTCAAATAATATTTTGTTATTAATAAAATATACTTACTATAATTATTTAGAACCAAGTATTTTCACCTTTATAATGTGTCAAGCTAATAAACCAAATTAAGCACTTTGAGGTTAACTACAGCATTAATTTTCAGTCTTCAGTAAAATAATTGGAGATGTACTTTCAGTATAAGTTATTTCATTACCTTCTACTTGACTATATACCCACCCACCAATAACTACCAGGATCAGTCTTTGGACTCGATCTCTTCTCTAAATTTGTTTAGTTCTCAATGTCTTTCATAATCAGGTATCTGAGTTTATCTGTTTTTAGTATTTTCTCATCGGGCAGAGATTGTCAAGCAAATATTCAGTCTTTTCAGATATTCACTTTATGTTCTAAATGCTCCTTATTATGAATTGCAACTGCTATATCATAAGCAAATAATAACAGTCATAGAAACTGGTCACATGATATATGAATCACATAAATTATCACCACAGTGATCCTAACTAGAAAACTAAATTATGATATATATTGTCTCTGAAATGCTGAAGGAGCACATCTTTGAATTGTAATACCAACCTAATGATCTGATGTTACACACAAATACCCATTCTTTGAAAGAACTGACATAGATGTCCTTTACTATTTTTGTATTTCAAAATTAATTTGAGTAAATGTTGAGCATGTAAATTTCTTATGATTTTTTTTTACAATGAAGAAATCTTAGTTATGTCAAAGGCATATGGATAGAAAGATCATTTAAGTCTCCTCAATAAAACAATAACTAACTCTCCTTCAGAAATAACCTAAAATGTTTTCTGGGTAACAAGTACTCTCTTATAGCTTAAGCTCTTGACACATTGACATTTTTAATGTATCTAGTGTGATCACTGCACTATTATCTTTATTTATCTTTCTGATGAAGAAAAAATTTCATTGCTTCTATCTTATTTTCCCATTCACTCGATTGCTGAGTTAACAAGATTCTTGCTATTTATCAGAACACGCTTAAACTCTAAATAATTTTGTAACATTATCCATGGAGTTCCCCCATATAAGAAAATACTCTATTGATAAAGGAATTACCTATTTGTTACTTTTATTTTTGTTTTGGATTATTGAGAATAATATTCGAGTATTTAAATACTGATTGAAAAAAAAAATCTAATATTAGCATGTCCTAGTGTCAGATAATGAGGATCAAAGCACAATACATACTTTGTTTCTTATGTCATGTAACTTTATGTGAATGTAGAGAAATAATTAAAAACAAACTTATAAACATAATTTAAAATAAACTATAATAACTTAAATCATTCATTGCATTGAAACCTAATTCTGTGCCTGATGTATTTTTAAAATTTATAGAATTTTAAATCATATTACTTATCCCATAACTACAGTGAACTTTCTACGTAACAATGATCTATGTTATATGCGGTTTAGATAGTATAATAATAAAAAAAAAAATATTTCAGCTTCAGATAATACTCCTAAAAAAGGAACAAAGAAAGCCACTGTAAAAGACATAGAAGAAGAGAAGCCCCTCACACCATCTAGGCGCAGTGCACGAATCAAGTCTAACACTAGTCTAATCTTAGATACACCTCAAGCTCAAGATTCTCCAAGAGCCAAAAGAGCTGCTAGAAGAACCTCACAAATTGGTATAATAAATATTTCATAATTTTTATGTAACTTCCAATAAAAGAAAGTTCTCAATTCATCTATATTTTCAGCCAACCTCAAAAAGAAGAAGGTTCATTTAGTTAGAGACTTTCAGATACAGACAGATGATTGATGCCGTAGAAATTTTATCAAAATCTGTTCAGGTGTTTATTTTCTGAACCAAAATAATTAATATTGCCACAATAGAAGTTACTTTTTTTAGAACACTATCTTAAATTATATTGTGACTATATTATGCAATTATGTTACTGGTTTTGATTTTCTGCAGTCGATTATATCCGAGTAAAGAAAATTAATCCCCATTACAGTAAAATAGTAATAATATATAATAGGGCATACTCCCATGTTGGCCCCATATTTTCTAAATATAGAGCAAAATACTGCTTAGAAAATATATTCTATATCTTTATGATGAACCCACAATTTTTTTTTTTATGATGAACCACATTTTTGTTGAGCAAAATGTACTTATCATATTATATTAAAAGTTTCAAAATTTAGTTCATAACATGTTGAAAGTTACTTATTCTTATATGTTAATATTTGGTACATTCTGTGTAAATATAAGTATAAAATTTTTAGGAAGTGATAGTGAAACTCTTACACCGGCAAGACAAACAAGGAAAACAAGGAAGGATTCATCATCAAGCATTGATAAACAAGGTAATTTGACAAAATTTTTCATTGATTAAAAGATTGAGAAGGAAAATATACTCGTACTTTACAGATTAGAACAGCATGAATAAAAAATTTAAAACAAAAAAATATTTACTCTTCCACACTATCTCCACAGTTATTATAGAAGTTAGTATCAAAGTATAGTAAATAAAATACAAGAAATCAAATTACATGATACTTGGTTAACCTATTAAAGTGGCATCAGGTAACACAAACTCACTTTCACATTTATAATATTTGTAAGGTTCTGATCTATAATATTTTTGTGTCTTGTTTAAAATAATAATTATGATAAAAGAAATGTTAATATTTATTAAATATGCAGATGATATATCTCTGTATCTATACGCTGTATTACATTGTTGATACATAGGTAGGTACCAGAATACTGTAAATATATAGGAAAATTCATTTTGATAATTGTGAGAGGAATTAACACATAAGTATAATTCAATGTCTTTTCAGATAAAAAAATTACATACAATTGCCAATTTTATTCATGCTTGGACAATTTGAATATGTTTAGGATTATAATTATTTAATACTTGCTTAGCCCTGAATTTGAAGTTAAATGATCCAAAACCCAACATGTATGCAAAATTCACTGATATATCCTTTCAATCCAGCAACTTTTTTATTTGACTTGAATGACAATCAAGCTAATGATCCACTGAATGAAAAATGAATAGCGCCATGGACATCACAAAATAAATACAAGGTGTAATTTCACACACATCAAATTGAAATGCAGCTTCTTAATGAGAAATAATCTTTACCTTAAAATCCTCACATAATTTTATTCCAATAAAAATCTTCATAACGTTATTTTAAAATGTCACATAGGTTATCTAAAGTAAATTATGAATTTGTATTATTTCAGATGCAGTTTTGACTGGTAAAACAACGGCCATAACAGAACCTATAGTTGAAGAGACAGAAACAAATGACAAAAATGCAAATACTTATAAGGGAGGCACAGAAAAAAATAAACCAATTCGTGCAAGTCCCAGAACCAAAAGTAAAGCTGAACAAAATGGCCCCAATAACAATGTTAATTCTGAGACTAACAATACCTCTCATGAAGTTGAAAGAAAACAGAATAGTCACTTAAAAAAATTAAATGACCTACCTATTGATAAAGAACCTGTTGTTATATTAAACTCCTTAATCTTGCAAAAAAATAGTACTGAAGATACTGCAAAATTACCCAATCACAAAAATTCAGTAGAAACAAATGAAGACTTTCATACAGTTAACAAATTTGGCGAGTCGTCTATTGACAATAATTTCCAAATTAGCTTAGTTAATAAGGACAAATCGAAAACACTAAATAATGACAATAGTCAAGTATCAAGTACTCTGACCAACAAAAACGACAATGAAAAATTAAAACTATCAGAGTCAAATGCAAACTTAATTAATAAATTAGATCATAAACCAAAAAATGTTCCTGGTATGAATAAAAGTACTTCAAACATTGCAGACAGTAACAATGTAAAAAATAAAAGATACAGAACTAAATCATGGACAAATCTATCATCGACATCATTAACCCAAAACCCTATTGACTTTAATAGTGACAATGAGATAATTAAAAAAAATAAAAAAACCAAAAATTCATATAATATACACAACATGTCTGAAAACATTGATTCTCTTGGTAACAACATACTAAACAAATATAAAGAGGAAAATGATACAAACAAGTCAGATATTTTAAATTCTTCATCCTCCAAAAAAATAAAGAGAATTACTGAACTATCAGTCTCAAAAGATAAAGAATTAACAGTTAGATCTACTATTACAACAATATCTAATGAAGAAAATTCCACTGTAGGTAAAGTGGAATATTTTAATAATGAAAATAACAAAAATAACTTGAGTAATTCCCAGAATAATAAAAGCACAGATACAAATGTCTTGGAAAAAGGACCAGTTTCTGTCATACAATCCATTGTGTATTTTGAAGACTCTGATACTGATAGTAAGGGAAAATCAATTAAAAACCAGTTATCTGATAATGAAGATCAATGTGTTCCAGTAATAAATAACAATTTTGTAATAAATAACTCATTAAAATCACCTGCTATTGATATAACAGGACGAAAAACGGATCAATCACTTAAAATAGCTACTGAAAATCCTGGTTTCAGTACTAGCTGTGAACCCATGGATATTGACGAAACTATTCCGAGTAATACATCGATAATTGATGATTCTAATCAGATGGTGATTAATGACAAAGATACAAATTCAAACAAGGAACAACAAACATCCCAAGAAAATAAGAGCTTAAATATACCGAAAAAAACATCTATGTCTCCTTCAAAATCACTAAATTTGGAAAAAACACATAATGAAACCAAAAGTACTCTTATATTATCTCAATTAAAGGACGAGTCATCGTCAGAAAATAGTGTGGCGAAGTCCCCAATATGCCATATCAATGAAATTATGTCTAAGTCTTTTAATAATGTTGAAGGTAAAGATAACAAAAATGCCAAAAAAAAGAATTCGCTTGATTATTCAACTAGTACACCATTACAACAAAAAACTTTAAAGAAATTAACAATGCAAATTAATACTTCAGAAATAAATGATTCTAACACTGAAGTAAAGCAAACTAATTCATATAATGAAGGTAAACATACAACATCTGCAGAATCAAATAAATCCAAAAACCTTGATATTGCACAGGATAATTCTAATTCGGAAGAAGAATCTTATTCAGAAGAAGAATCCATTCCACAAAAAGAATCATCTAAGGAATCAACATCTATTCTTGACGACGAAGCTGAAGAAGCTAGTGACGATTATGAGTCAGGAGATAGTAGAGATGATGACGAGAGACAATATGAAAAAGAAAATGAAATTTTAGAAAAAGGCGAAACCTTAGATTCTGAGGATGAAGTTACAGATGATAGTGACTATGAAAAAGACTCTTTTGTTGTTAGTACTGATGAAGATGATAATGAATTACTAGATGGATCTGGTGATGATCTTTCAATGAGTGATAATGAACTTACTATGAGTAAAAAGTCGAAGAAAAAATATAACGAAAGAAAAAATAAAGAACAAAAACTTGCCTCAAGAGAAATGTTTGAAGCTCGTCATAATATATCAAAATCAGAAAAGTTGAAATCTAAACCAAAGAACCGACAACGTTTAGACTCCTCCAATATAGATTCTGACGAAGAAGTTATAGCAGTCTCTAAAAACCATAAAAGGAATAGATTACATTCTACACAAGAATTGGAAACGGACAAATTGCAAATCACGAAAGATAGACAATTATCAGACTCTGTGTTAAATGTTAGTGCAAATAAAGAAACAGAAATTTCGTTGCAAGATAATGAGAATATATTCAGCATAGAAGATCCTCTGTCAATGCAAGTAAAATCTGAGCCTAAAACTCCTCAAAAGGAATTAGAAATAACTACGGTTCCTATTGCTGACGATATTGAAGAAATAGATGTTAATGACAATTTGTCGATAAGGAATACTAGTAATGAATCATCTGATCCCTTGCAAAATGAAAAACTTGATGAAAATGACTCTTTAAGTGAAAATGAAGAGATAGTAGAAAATTATGATTCAGTCTTAAAAGATCTGAATAATATAAATAGTAAAAAAATTAAAATGGTTGACACATCACTGGACTCTAATGTAAAAAGTAATAAAAAATGTAAAAGTAATGAACCAATTATAGATCAGCTTAATCTTACTCAAACTAAGAAATGCAAGAAAGATAGAAAAAAATCAATATCAAATATTGAGAATTCCAAAGAAACTAAAAAAACTGAAGACAATAGAAAATCAAACAAGCCAGCTGTCGGTGACGATGATTCATCTGATTCAATAGACTTGCATTTGCTATTTTCTGAAGATAGTATGGATAGTGTAAACAAAAATACTGAAGACAAAAATAAAAAAGATTTCATACCTTTAAAGAAATCAGAAGGAAACACGAACATTCCAAATGGTAAATATTTTCTTTTGGTATTTATCTTGTTAATTTATTTCTTAACGTTAGTACATAATGTAAATAATATTACAGATTATTTCTATACTTTTATTTATATTTTTAAGATATTTCCGTAACTACAGAACACAACAGTTCCATGAACAAAGAAAAAACTAAAAAACACATATCTTCATTATGTCTATCTAACAAGAAACGATTTGGTTAGTATTCTAATAAAAAGTGTTAATTTAATTATAAAATTTTGTATTAAGAAATAATTTGTGAATTAAAATAAAAGTATGGATTTATTTAGGATATGTTCTGTATGAGTACCAAATGTCATTCTAATATATCTTTAATCAACTGATATTATAAATGTGAAAATTTATAAAGATATTATAACAACTACGCTTCCATAGCTGAAACATAAAAAATAATTATGATGTAATAAATTTTGAAATTTTCATATATAAACTTTGTAAGAATTGTAGAATTGATTAATTTGCACTGAAAATCACAATCTAATTTAATTTTAATAATAATGTATTGTTATTATAAAAAATATTTATTTTTATAAATTCAATTATTGTCAAATATCGAGATGAACTTGTTCACCATTTTACTGACAAATTTGTATGCATAATTTTCAGAAAACAATCAAGAAAATATTGAGGAGTTACCTATATTTGTTGATACTATTGGAGCTCGAGGAGACACTGACTTGTCTGGGAACATGTCCTTAAATACCAGTAAAAGTAAAAAGAACAAAAAGGATAAATATCAGGCTGTAGATAATGAAATAGAAGGTATATTATATAAAAACTTATAAATGTCTTACTAATAATAGAAAAGTAGATGATGTCTGTGTAACGCATGAATGAGAGAGATCTTAACACTTTGCTGATGGGTGACCAGTTAACTCGTCTTTTCATATCCAAACATTGCTGACAGGTGACGAGTAAACTCGTCATTGCGCTAGCGCTACATCCTCCTAACACGACAGCAAGACTGTTTGAATTGCAGAGCGTTCATGGCCAAAACAATTACTTTTCTTTGTATTTAGGTTTTTATCACAATTTTAGTTTAATTCCAAAGATTTCAACCATGATGGGATTCCCGGTCAGCAAAGTGCTAATGAGACCAACAAGGCAAAAACTTATAAAAAAATATTTTTTTATAAATTTTTTCTTTCTATCTTTTGTTTTGACGTCTACGAAAACTACGGGACCAATTTTTTTTCGAGAAAGACAAAAATTTATTTATTTTTAATATAAGTATTAACGATTAAGTTTAGTTTATTGAGTTTACCATTATGAATGATACATGTTATAAAGATGAACAATATGCACACAAACAAAATTAATAATTATTTACATAAACTTAATTACACACAGAACTGCTGATGTCTATAGGCGACGGTTACCACTTTCCATCACGTGGGCCGTCAGCTTGTGTGCCATTCTAAGTTGCATAAAAAAAAAACAAAAGTAGAGAAAGAGGCAACGGTAGGCGGCCTTATCGTGAAATGGCAATCTCTTCCAGGCAACCTTGAAAAGTGAGGACCCTGTATACCTGAACTAGGTTTTACACCTGTGCTATAGGCATCAGTTACCACAGTTGTGCTTATTAACAACCGCAGTTATGCATTAGTAATATTTTAAGAGGGACACTGCTGCTCATCCCTTGACAAACTGAGTAATCTCTTACGACAAACAACTTTGAGAAAGGAAAGGGTGGCCAGGACCACACGGCAAACATATATGTGTGTGTGTGTGTGTGTGTGTGTGTGTTGTGTGTGTGTGTGTGTGTGTGTGTGTGTGTGTGTGTGTGTGTGTGTGTGTGTGTGTGTGTGTGTGTGTGTGTGTGTGTGTGTGTGTGTGTGTGTGTGTGTGTGTGTGTGTGTGTGTGTGTGTGTGTGTGTGTGTGTGTGTGTGTGTGTGTGTGTGTGTGTGTGTGTGTGTGTGTGTGTGTGTGTGTGTGTGTGTGTGTGTGTGTGTGTGTGTGTGTGTGTGTGTGTGTGTGTGTGTGTGTGTGTGTGTGTGTGTGTGTGTGTGTGTGTGTGTGTGTGTGTGTGTGTGTGTGTGTGTGTGTGTGTGTGTGTGTGTGTGTGTGTGTGTGTGTGTGTGTGTGTGTGTGTGTGTGTGTGTGTGTGTGTGTGTGTGTGTGTGTGTGTGTGTGTGTGTGTGTGTGTGTGTGTGTGTGTGTGTGTGTGTGTGTGTGTGTGTGTGTGTGTGTGTGTGTGTGTGTGTGTGTGTGTGTGTGTGTGTGTGTGTGTGTGTGTGTGTGTGTGTGTGTGTGTGTGTGTGTGTGTGTGTGTGTGTGTGTGTGTGTGTGTGTGTGTGTGTGTGTGTGTGTGTGTGTGTGTGTGTGTGTGTGTGTGTGTGTGTGTGTGTGTGTGTGTGTGTGTGTGTGTGTGTGTGTGTGTGTGTGTGTGTGTGTGTGTGTGTGTGTGTGTGTGTGTGTGTGTGTGTGTGTGTGTGTGTGTGTGTGTGTGTGTGTGTGTGTGTGTGTGTGTGTGTGTGTGTGTGTGTGTGTGTGTGTGTGTGTGTGTGTGTGTGTGTGTGTGTGTGTGTGTGTGTGTGTGTGTGTGTGTGTGTGTGTGTGTGTGTGTGTGTGTGTGTGTGTGTGTGTGTGTGTGTGTGTGTGTGTGTGTGTGTGTGTGTGTGTGTGTGTGTGTGTGTGTGTGTGTGTGTGTGTGTGTGTGTGTGTGTGTGTGTGTGTGTGTGTGTGTGTGTGTGTGTGTGTGTGTGTGTGTGTGTGTGTGTGTGTGTGTGTGTGTGTGTGTGTGTGGTGTATATATATATATATATGTGTGTGTGTGTGTGTGTGTGTGTGTGTGTGTGTGTGTGTGTGTGTGTGTGTGTGTGTGTGTGTGTGTGTGTGTGTGTGTGTGTGTGTGTGTGTGTGTGTGTGTGTGTGTGTGTGTGTGTGTGTGTGTGTGTGTGTGTGTGTGTGTGTGTGTGTGTGTGTGTGTGTGTGTGTGTGTGTGTGTGTGTGTGTGTGTGTGTGTGTGTGTGTGTGTGTGTGTGTGTGTGTGTGTGTGTGTGTGTGTGTGTGTGTGTGTGTGTGTGTGTGTGTGTGTGTGTGTGTGTGTGTGTGTGTGTGTGTGTGTGTGTGTGTGTGTGTGTGTGTGTGTGTGTGTGTGTGTGTGTGGTGTGTGTGTGTGTGTGTGTGTGTGTGTGTGTGTGTGTGTGTGTGTGTGTGTGTGTGTGTGTGTGTGTGTGTGTGTGTGTGTGTGTGTGTGTGTGTGTGTGTGTGTGTGTGTGTGTGTGTGTGTGTGTGTGTGTGTGTGTGTGTGTGTGTGTGTGTGTGTGTGTGTGTGTGTGTGTGTGTGTGTGTGTGTGTGTGTGTGTGTGGGTGTGTGTGTGTGTGTGTGTGTGTGTGGGTGTGTGTGTGTGTGTGTGTGTGTGTGTGTGTGTGTGTGTGTGTGTGTGTGTGTGTGGTGTGTGTGTGTGTGTGTGTGTATATAAAGAAGATTTTTTTAACTATTCTAATAGAGTGTTTAATTTAATATATTTGATTAACAAAGTTGAAAAAAAATTAATTTGGATACTATACAATTATTACTTATACTATTGTTCTTTATATTCCAGCACAATATACAAATAATGATACATCTAATTTAGAGAACAATGAAATGTCTATAAATATTTCACTGAATACCAGCAAAAAGAAAAAGAAGAAACACAATAAATCTTCTAACAGTGAATCAGAACCAGTAGAAGGTAAATAAATTTTCGTACTTATGCTATTTATATGTTACACATAATAATTACTAAAGAAACCGTGTCTACAAAATATCTCCTAAGATACTTAACCCTTATATTATACTATATAATAACCGACCACATTGAGTCGAGTATATTATGAATGTGAAAATTTATAACGATATTATTATATCAACTACGCTTAAACATGTTTTTTTATACCACTGAGGTGGCAAACAAGCATACGGCCCACCTGATGGTAAGCGGTTACCGTAGCCTATGAAAGCCTGCAATACCAGAGGTATTACGCGCGCGTTGCCGACCCTGAAGAAACCTCTTTACCCCCCTTTTGAAGAACACCATGCTGTAGTCTCTTGGGAAAACCTCGGCAGGGAGCTCATTCCATAACCTGAGTGTTTACGAATTTTAATGAAAGTTGCTACATTTTTAGTTTATATCCTACCCGCATGCATCACTATATAAAGATATAGTGATGTACGCGGACAAAGTCACGGGAAGCAGCTAGTAACAAATATAATGTGTATTAGTTGGATAACAAAATAATATGATTAAATCACATAATAAATTACTGGTAAACTTATTTTTTAATAACACTACACTTTTTACAAGTTCCGAAATGTCTATGTTTTATTCTATAATTTCTGTGAAAATAAAATGCGTATAATAAATAAATTACTTAGAAATATTGCTTAAATAGTAGACGATTTACACAGCTGCTGTGTTTCGGTTTGAATATGGCATTAAAATTACTGGATATCGATATGGAGATATAACACCTCTTTGCCCAGGAATAGCAATATATTAGGGATACCGTGGACATCGTATTGTAATTCGGGGTGTCCATGGTACTGTTTATAAATAACTATTATCATTTACATGAATTGAACTATCAGCATGTTTTGGTATTCTAAGTCATATATCCTATTTGTTGCGTGTGTAACCTCCTTAATTCCATAGCAGAAACATAAAAAGGAATTCATAATATAATAAATTTTAAAATTTTATTATATTAACTTGGTAACAATTGTTAATTTCATTAGTTTGCGCTTATGTCACAATCTAAATCAAATTTAAAAATAAAGTACTGTTATTATAAAAAAAATATTTGTTTTTGTAAATGCAATTATTTATTGTCAAGTATCAAGATTAACTTGTTCACCATTGTATTAACAAATTTGTTTACATTATACAAACCTTTATTTCAGAAAACAATCAAGAAAATATTGAGGAGTTACCTATATTTGTTGATACTATTGGAGCTCGAGGAGACACTGACTTGTCTGGGAACATGTCCTTAAATACCAGTAAAAGTAAAAAGAACAAAAAGGGAAAACATCAGACTGTGGATAACGAAATAGAAGGTATTTTATATAACACATAATAATAAACAGTTAAACAAAAATCTTACTAATAATAGAACAGTAGGCTATAATCTATACATAAGATGGTGATGGCACATGAATTAGGGATCTTAATAAGAGCAACAAGATATGACAACAACAATTTTCTAACTATTTTCAGTCTATCTTTTGTTTTGGCATCATGCTAAATCTACGGGACTCGATTTGACGGTTCTATTCCTATCATAAAGATGTAGTAATATATACATATATACAGTGTGCAAGAGATAGGTCGGTCAGAACCAAAACAGCTGATTCAGATAAATAGCCTGAATCAGATGGCAGATTATTTTCCCATCGGAAATGCACCACAACCATATAATTAATTAAGTTTTGACGCCACGCAATATATTTAAAATTTTACAATCTACACGACACGTATCGTATATTACGTAATAACTATAACGGACACTCAATAGCGCTTCTTTGTAGAGAAGTTCCGTACGCTTGGAATGTTGATCTTACATATCTGATTCCGCGCATTGCGATAGGATTTTAATACGTGTATTACATTGCTGTTTTTATGTTATTTTATAGTATTATGCTATAAAATATTTATATTATGACATAATAACATAGATTATATGATTTTAAATGAAAATAAAAACCGGATAAAAGACATTAAAGTTTTGTGCTTTCTATAAAATCTATTAACCTATTGTTTAAGTCGTCTGGATTCACTGATTCTACATGATTTAATTGTTTAATTTTAAAGGGTCTGTTATCTTTTTTAATTTTTAGTTTTAATTTTGCTCTTACCATTCTGTGATTACTATTAAAGTTTTTATGGTCCTACAGTCCTCAAAGTCTTTACTCCTATTGGTTAGTATATAATCGATCTCGTTTTATCTGTGTTTGATATCCATGTCCACCTATTATTTACTCTGTTTTTGTACAGACTGTTAAGTATTTTTAAGTTATTCTCATATGCCAGCTCAACCAGTTTTTCGCCGTTTCTAGTTCGCTTTCCTGAACAATAAGAACCCAATATCAGTTCTTCCCCACCTTTTCTATTTCCGATTCTGGCATTAAAATCTCCCATCACGATTAAATTTTTATATGTATATTTGTGTATTGCATTTGAAAGCAAGGAGTAGAAGGAGTCTATTTCTGTACTGTTCTATTGCTCTGTTGGCGAGTAAACTTGTATAATTGACCACTTCATATTGGTGTGTGGTAAAGTTAAATTTAGTATTGCAATGCGTTCTGATATACCAATGAATTCATCTATATATCCCTTTAGTTCTTTACTTATCAAAAATCCTACTCCATATTGTCCTGGTGTGTCTCCATTATAATAAAATACAAATTGTTTGTGGTCCTCTATACTTTCGCCCAATCGTCTAACTTCACTCATTCTTACTATTGTCCAGTTTATTTTTTCCAATGCTAACATCTATTTCACTAAGCTTTTATTAGTGCGTGATGAGAGGGTGTTATATGTTGCAATGTATATGGTTGTTATCTTTTTTCGGATTTTCTTTATTGTGTAATGGTGTTTTAGATGGAATACTTGGAGGGTAGTAGTCGTCTTCCCCCACGGTGACTAGCCGGCTTGGGTGCGGTTCTCAGATGTTTGTTTATATATAGTTCTAGATTTTTCCTTGTTTTGGTTCCAAGTTGACATTTCTAGTTTTTTGGGGTTTCTGACACTGAAGCTGATCTTCCTCTTATGTAATTAAATAAATTATTTGGTTTCGTTATTTTCTTTGAACTTGAAGCAATTAACTTTTCTGGCGAGGCAGCTTTTGCGTTTAACTTCTTTTGTACTTGTGCAATAGGAGACCCCGGCTTCTCACGTTTTCTTTTCTCTCTATTTGTATCATTTGGTTTCTTTACTATTAATTTATCTCCCATTATAAATGCTATGTTTCCTTTTTTCCTTTCTTCTATCATTTTGGGTTGTAACTGTTTTCGTACCTCTAGCACTTCCTTAGTATAATCTTCTTTAATGTAAATGCTTGAGGGAAGACTGGATTTATTTTTCAATATTAGATGTTTTTTTTTTCATACAGTGGTAAGCGAAATTACAAGGGGTCGATTTTTAACAGATGGCGCTCCAATCCTATAAATATTACTTATTTCTTGGCTATCTAAGTTGAATACCCGATTCTTCTATGATTTCTTTTATACAATCAATAAGTTCACTCTCACTTTATCCTTTTTCTTGGACTCAAAAAATGACCTAATTATTCATTCGTTTTTCTTTTTCCATAATTTAAAGTTTTTATTCCAAATATGTTACTTTAGTTTTCAAATGCTTATTTTCCTCAATTAGCGTATTTAATTTTTCATCTTATGCCACCATAATGCTTTTTGTAACTGCTGTAGTAATTGCATAAGTTTGTTGAATTAATTTTTCATCAGGTTTTGTTAGTAATAACTCCAAAACATTTTGGTCCAATTTTGAGCTTTTATGGCAATTTAGGATAACTTAAGTTGGATTATGGTCACACAATAGGCAATTTTTTGTTTTTTTTTTTTGTTAGCAACACTGCAGTACAATTATTAACTGTCACAAGATACCTATCGTTTGATGTATGCTTTTCTCAATAATTTGTGGGTAGGTAGTACTCACTTGGTTGATAACGCTTGATTTTCACTTTAAACGTTATATATTTGTACTATTAATATTTAATAAATATTTTTTTTAAGCTGAAACGCAATTGTTATATGTTTACAATTATACTATTGTTTTTTTATATTCCAGCACAATATACATCTAATTTAGAGAACAATGAAATGTCTATAAATATTTCACTGAATACCAGCAAAAAGAAAAAGAAGAAACACAATAAATCTTCTAACAGTGAATCAGAACCAGTAGAAGGTAAATAAATTTTCGTACTTATGCTATGTATATATTACACATAATAATTACTAAGGAAACCATGTCCACAAAATATCTCTTAAGATACTTAACCCTTATATTATACTATATAATAACCGACCACATTGAGTCAATTTATAGAAATATTAATAGTAAAATATTATTAGGAGAGGTCTAATTAGAATTTTCTGAAACCAACAATCTTTTTTAAACTAATCTGGTGAAAGCTGGAACTGGTTGTTGGGATAAAAACAAATAGTATGAGTTTATACTAATAGTAAAAAATATAAAAGCAAAATAACAATCATTATCAAATAACTAAATATGGAACAGGATAATCTGTGTCTACAAGTTAGAAATGTTACATTCAGAATAAGTACAAAGAAACTACAAATATCAATACTTGAAGAAGATATTTTACTAATATTAAATGTGCAAATGTTTTTTAAATATGTTTAGATTGTATTGGAGTGAAATGTGGTACACAAAAAGACGATCTCCTAGACTGTTTTAATTAATGAACTTTTTATCATAATTAAATATTAATCTTTTAATTTTAAATAATGGTCATAGCACATTGCATGGGGGTACTTGATAGTAGTAAAATATAAAATATTAAGATAATAATTTATTTGATAAATTCTCTGATGTTATTTCAGCAATTGAAAACATGTCCAAGGTACTTAACTCGACTGCACCACACGAATCTTTGAACATATCATCAGAGGCTAGTGTAAAGAAGAAGAATAAAAAGAAACATAAAACATCTACACTTAATACTTCCCAACAAGTCCCTGTAGAAGGTATGTATGCTTTTTATATTTTTTAAACTGACATTTTTCGATTAAATAAACTGTAAAAAATATTTATGCTTACAATAACATTTGGGCTTATTTATTTACTTACTGTGATGATAGTTGTAATTATAGTTTGTAAATGTAGTATTCAAGTTTATAGTTAAAATTTCTGTGTGTTTATACCATTAATGATCTAAATCTTACCCATATTTTTTGTTTAACAATTCATGAATACACGTGGTGTACTCAAACTATTAAACATTTTCCTTGCATTATCTTAATTTAAAAAAAAATAATTTCGTTATTCATATTAATTCAGAGGATATCCTGGTGGCACCGGAAGCACCTTGTAACACTACACTCAATACAAGCACAAAGAAAAAGAAAAATAAAAAAAAGCAAAACACTTCCGCCACCGATGATACTATTACGCCACAAAATACAGTACAAGGTAATTCGCGTATTATAGTATATAACTAACTCATCATGTTTATTCAACAAATAAAATATTATAGTTAAAAGGTTTTATTTCTTTTGTATTTTAAGTAAACTATTATTTTCAGATGCCCAAATTAATGACGACGCTCCCACAGAAGTGCCTTTCCAAAGTCATAAAAATGCTCAAAGTCGTAAGTGCAATATTGTTACACTATACATCCATTCTTACTAATATTATAAATGTAAAATTAAAAAAAAAATACTTTAAATGTTTTTAAATAAATTTACTCGATCTTGTTTAAACGGCTGCATGAATTTCGATTCAGGAAATAAACAGTATGTGTCGCACATGTAGTTCATATCGTGATTTAATATATTGCTATTTACGTAACATTGTAATAAAAATACTTTGAATAATATAAGAACAAATAAGCAGCCTTATTGCAGAAAATAAACTTTTCAAGAAAATAATTAAATACAACACCAATTATAGATTTGTATTTTATTAAAATCTCATATTTATTTTACTTATTATAGATAATGACGTAGAGACTGCTGTAAATAACAAAGGAACCTTCAAAGAGGATACTTTAAATATGAAACATGACAAGTCCTTAACTAAAGCTAACCTGAACAGTTCTTTGGGAAGTAAAAAGAAGGGGAAATTGAAAGCAGACGCGGTCCCCGAAATGACAGAAGGTATCTATTGCATACTAAATCGACACCGCAGTAGTCTTAAACATTTTTTAAATAATAATATTTTAATATATAGAAAGACGCACAAGTATAACATAACGCAATTTCAAAATAGTGGGGGTCTTGTAATACGTTACGATGCAATACAGGGGCGGGAGGAAAGTTCAAACAAAGCCACATCAAGTATTAAGTAACATCGTGACGAACAAACAGATATACAACAGTTCTAATAATATTTGATTTCTATTACTTATATATAAAGCCGTATAGATTCGCTAGCTAATTACTGCAAAATTAAATACACTGAATTGTCGATATTCTAATATTATCGATGTTTTAGAAAATAAATAGTTTGAACTACTGTTTTCTTTCAAAAATATTTTACATTCTACATGTGAAACCTCTATATTGTTGTTGATTGTACACATGATATTCCAGATATAATTACACTTAGTGGTAATGCTGAAGAGGTAGAAATTCTGAAGAAACGTAAACGAAAATTGTCCGCTTCAACGAATCCTGATGAAGACACTGAAAAAGGTATAAGGATAAGTGCCTTAGGAGGTCGTCAGACCGCCTTTACTCTAGGTTCCTTATCCATACTAATAATAAGATTGGATTTTTGTATGTTTGTTTGTTTATTATTAATAAACTAAAAAATTACTTAACCAATTTTAAAAAATCTTTTATCTATAGAAAGCTACATTATGGACAAGTAACACAGATTATATATAAAACTGCTTTTTTTTTTAATGGATGATAATGCAATGGTAACTTCGCCCGCGATAATGATATACGCCGGCGGGGTATCAATGAGGGATGATAGGAAACGGTTATCACTTCCATTAAGTGGGCTGTCAGCTTATTTGTTATTATCGCAGTTATTGACACATTCTTTTTTATACTTGCAGTCTCATAATATAAATTCTCAGCCGATCCAAGTCTCAAACGTGACTTTTCTAAATTCGCTCAGATCTAGACCTCGATAACGCAGAAACGATCCTAAGCCACCTGCATCTGACACTGACTCCCTGCATTTGAGGTCATCACTCTATCTAGTGGGGGGTCGTCCTACACTGCGTTTACTCGTATGGGGTCGCCACTCAAGAACCTTTCTTCCCCACTGGTTGTTGGTTCTTTGAGTTATATGACCAGTATATTGTCACTTTAGCTTGCTTATCCTTCGGGCTATGCCGATTACTTTCGTTCTTTTGCGGATATCCTCGTTTTGGATTCTAACATAAAAAAAAAACATCGAGCATAGTCCTCTCCATGGCCCGCTAAGTAATTTGGAGCTTTTGCACTCGGGCAATCGTGTAGGACCATGTTTCGGTTCCATAAGTCATTACTGGCAACATGCACTGCTTAAAAACCTTCATCTTCAAACCTTAAGGTATTTTCGATTCCGCATGCAAATGTACGTGACGTGTAGAATAGACAATGCCTGATATTAAATATTAAATATGTGTACATTATTATATAGTAGTATACATAGTAGTTATACATTATAATTTTATATGTATTAAACATTGTAAACTTTTATTTTATACAGATGACCTAAAACGATTGGATGCATCTGAAGTTTCAAATGAACCATTGGTAAAAAATCAAATTAAAAAACGCAAATTATACCACGTAGAGGACGGTAATAATGAAAAAGGTAATAAACATTAATATTTATGATTGATGTCACTTGGTGCAACTTAATACATAATCATTATTATTATTAATTTATTACATAATGATAAACATTTACATATATTCATCATGGCAGTCCATATATGTTTGATTTTGTAAAATGTATAAATGAAATGCCATTGTAATAATATTATCATAGTAATAAATATTATTATTTTGGAAATCAGCTCACCGACGACTTAATATCGTGAGAATGTTTCTAATTTATAAATTTATGTCTATTACTTGTTATTCTATATTATTGTTATTTAATAATATTACCAACATATGTAATTTATTAAAGCATAAATAAAATATATTTACATATTTTATCATAATGTAATAATTATTTATCGTTACTGATTACATTAATCAGTAAGGATAAATAATTTGGTGTTTTCATATTTGACTTTTTTAATAAAAAAATCCTAATATATTTTTCATCGAAATAACACGACATAAAACAAATATCTAGCATAGAATGTTTTATGTTATTTTATTATACATTATTGTATAATATAAACAATATCATACTTTTAAAATCAACTTATTATGAAAAGACATAGTTTAGTAAATATTTCAAACAAGCATAAAAATCAAATATCCACTAGTAAAAAGTTGTTTTTTTAATCACTATAAAGTACTGTAAAAGTTTCTTTGTTTTTAATGTCTTTAAATTATTATTATTGTTACAGAAAAATCTCAAAAAAAAGGTAACAAAAAACGTAAAGAAAGGGATGATGATGAAGAAAATACAACCTCCAAGGTAATTTAAAGTTAATACAGGTAGAATTAAATTAAGCATAAATCTATCCATATGAACATAACAAACATTATTTTAGTTCTATTAAAACCACGTTGAACCACCGATACCTACATACCTATGCCTCCTAACTGCCATTTATAATAATGCCATTTATGTCTGCTTTCCTATGTTAAATAGAGACGTTATTTTTTATCATATATAAAGGATTAACTTTTTTGTTTCAATGTATTTCAGTGAATTAATTTAAAATTAGGATATTTTCTGTAACCTCTACATGTTATGGATAAATCTATATTGAAAATTATTGCTAGTTAACTCTCAAAAATAAAAAAAAGTGTGCAGTATGTTTTAATTCATTATTAATATTTCAATGAATTTTCAGATATTCAAGAATAATTCATTTGAGAAAGTCAGTGTACCACGTCTACCTTCAGCTCTTCTCAGTCAATTAGATGACAAACCCAAAAAGGAGATACTTGACATAAAGAAATCAAAAATTATATCAACAACACAATTTAAAGTAGAAGATGTAAGAAAGAGAAGAAATAAACCATCCAACTATTTGGAAGAGAGTGTGTATTTAAATGATGCAAATGAAAAAAAGAAACAAAAAGGAAATATCAAAATTCCCAAAGTTCTCCCTTTTGTACCTACAGTTTCAACATCGGGCAACGGTTTTACTACTAACTTTCAAATCAGCGTAATACCGAAGGAGACCAAATTTATTGCTCAAACAGAGAATATTCCAAGTTTTAAAAGAGAATATTTGTATAATAAAAAGATTAAAAGACTGGGCACTTATGAACTGTATAAAAGACAAAGAAATATGAAAATATCCAAATTTTAATCGCACGTTTTTTTTTTTGTGTAGTTATTATTATGATAATTTTGTTGTCCAGACTATTTCCGCCTAGTTTTGTTTTGTATTCAATGTTCCGTTTGTTGTTTGTATACCTTATTAACACAATGAAAATTCATTGATATTTTCATCATCGTGAATAATATTCACGCGGAACAAAAAGAGCTCACAAATACTCATAAATTAAATCACTATGTTTGTTATATAGATATAAGAAAGCGTACTTTTCATTACACTTAAGCTTCACCTTTATAATTAATTATTTAAGATATTTCACAAGTTACTAAATCACCTTTCATAAAATATCTATTAATATCACTTTTATACATTTCAATATTTAATATGGATGGAATATAGAAACGGACAAAATAAATTGGATGTTATTCATATAAAATTGTATACATAAATACTCTTTCAACTAATTCAATTATTTATTATTATTTTCTTTATTAATTTAACATTTGCATATTAGTATTGCGTATATTTTCTAGAATGTATCATGCCTTAATTGTTAAATGTGAAGTTGTTTGTATAGATCGTATAAAATTTGTTTTAATTGAATTGTTTTTGATCATACATAGCACATTAAAAATTGGATGTCTTGAAACAGTTAAAACGTTTGATTTTATTATTTGAATTGTCTTTTTTTTATGATTATTTTGCTTATTTGTGTTACGATATAGAGACTATCCAAATTACATTTAAATGCTATTTAATATTAATCTAGTGTTAATTTGTTATAAATTGGGATTTTAAGAGTTCAAATTTTACCGCTTTAAGACGATAAGTTACTAAAATCGCTACCAGTTGGCGCTTGCATCGTTAAAAAGTGGTATTATCCATGTGCCTTTTATTTACTTAGTTTCAGATTAAAACTTTCATTATTTTGATATTTCATTCAATAAACGTAATCCTTAAACGAATTTCTTTATTATTAAACATTTATATTTAATTCTAATAGTACATACTCGCCAAAAACACTTCCCGCCTTATCATGCCGGTGTAAACAAACCGCCATGTTGTTCATAACTAGAACGAGCTACCTAAAACAATGTGTTCACGTGAGTATTTGTATTACGATATATAAATATACCTTTTAAGTATTAATTATGATTAACATTTATAAATTAGTAATTTTCTTAATCAACGTTTATTTTCGTTTCCTAAAATTATCATTAATACAATTGACCATGTGACGTCTATCCGTATTAGGAATCCGACCAATAGGAGCTAAATAGTACTGATCACGTGGGTAGAATCCTCCAATAGTGAAACAGACCATTCTTTGTGTACCTTTTCACATAATAGTAAAACAGATTGTGGTTTTTATGGAGTGAGTGGTATTATATCTGTCAATCTAATGACGTTAAAAACCTTAAATGTGTGAAATTCAGAATTATTCTGTTGAGCATAAGGATATTTATATGAATAAATATTCGGTAAGTAATATTTCAAAGCCACAAGTAGTTTTTTTTTTGTCTATGTTATGAAAACAAGGTTTGTTCGGTGGGAAAGTCCACTGACGAACGTGTCCCGCTCTTTTTAACGTCAATAATCACTATTTATTCGAGTTTTCTCTTATATATCTAATCTACAAATTGTTGTGGTTATGATTCATCATCTATATTTAGTAAATAACACATATTATCATTTTTAGAAGTGGCGGGAAATTGCTATGCAATGGGAATGTATTCATGCATCTTATACACAAGAGCCATTGATAATATTTTTACTTTAGGTTTATTACCGTGTTATTTTTTTTTTAAATAGAATTAATTCACATATTATTTATGTAGAGAAACTCATAATAATAACACGCGGCAAATATTATCAGTCGATATAACGGACATTCATCTCATTCTACATTTTCTGTCCTTGTCTCTCTCATTCTGAATAGGTAGGGCTACAAGAAGACGTAATATTTTTTATACTCCAGATTCTTTAGGTACATATAATTTATTATTGCTATATATAGGTATTCAGATTTTTAGAGCATATTAATTTATATTTATATAGAAAGATTGGTTTCATAAATAATTTTTCAACTGATAATTGTAACTTATAACTACGTACTTGTTTCTACCAACCAACAATGTAAAATGGCGCCAATTCCCCGTCAATGAACTTCAAGCGGTTGTAATGTGATTGTAAATTCACAGCAGTGCAACAAATTACTTCGTATGTACATAGGTATCTATGTGTAGATAGAGATGTATCTTCATGCTATCTTATAATACTGTACCTAGGTCGGTATCTTTTTTTGACTAGAACCAATGTTTTATTACATTCGCCGGTAATCAGTTTAGTAAATACCTAAGTAGGTAACTAGATTATTGTTTTAAATATATCTATACATTCATAAATAGATAGAATATAGCTTATCACAGGATCAACCTTGGTATAGTTAGGTCATCTATGTAGCTATTTAAGAACAATTTTGGAGCAAGAATATTTTATAAATTGATTATTTAAAACTAAAATAAAAAATATTCGACAATAATATAGGTATATAAAATTATTTTTTCCAAAATATTTTTATTCCAACTGTACATTTGTTTATACACTAAAAAATACGCCTAAATTGTTTACTAAACGCCTTCTTAAAAAACATACTTAGGTACAATGCCTGAAGTCTCAAAATATATAGGACTAACATTTGCGCCTACAGAATTATTTTCTTATTTGAATCTACCTAGGTAGGTATATACCTAATAATATTATCGAACATCAAACTAAAATTCCCACGGCCCGTTTCTAGCGAGAACTTCAAGACGTTGAACAATGAATGCACCGTTTGTTTGTGTGTATCTGTAGGGATAAAATAATTCCATTGTGTGTGTAGTGTACTTCCACAGGTAGTGCACTATTAAGTCGCGACTACTCCATTCCATATGTTAACAATAATATTGTATAGTCTACCTTTTTTTTTACACATACCTACTACAATTAATAGACATTCTCCTGATTTATTATGGAATACATATTTTGTATGGAAATACAGTTTTATGTAAGTACAGTTGAAAAAATCTGTATACTATTCATTTTTTTTTTCTAATTTTAAAAATAAAAAAGGTTAAGATTGTTTACAAATTTTGCCAAAATAAAAAAAAAACCGGTCAGGTATGAGTTAAACTCACACGCCGATGGTTTCGTACATAAATATAATATAAAATAAAATTGCGTTATTGCATTTCTCATACGAAAACTTACTAATATTACAATACGTAATTTCTTATTTTGGACCATAATTGTAGTTAAAAACTGAACTGCGTAACTTTGTTTTGGGAAGGTTTTTGATAAATTCTTTAAAAATGTTCTAGTTGGAAACATTGTTTTATTTTTCCTTCACTTTAATATTCATATACGAGAATACCTTTATAAATTGTAATTATTATAATTTAAATAAAACTACCTAAGTCGTGTACACTACACATACACACGGATAAACGACGAGATATAAAGTATCAAGTCAGTTGGTCTATCGTGACAAATTCAGTAGGTATTAACCACCATAGTTTCCAAATCGATAGGTTATCACTACGTTCCTAATGATCTTTTTTTAATCAGCGAACATTTGATTGTAACTCTGCCTGCCATATAGTTTTCCATTGGCGATAGTTAATTTATAAATGGGAATGAAATCAATTCAGTAAACCCATCGTGACGAATTCCCTAGAAACCACGATGGTGTCCCAAGGTGCCACGTGGAGGTCGATCTGTTAAATGCACTAGTAAAATCTCTTTCCCCGGGGGGAAGGGATTATTAGTTATGCGGACTATTAGTCTCAATACTAGCAATATACCCAACCAGGTCGACCTCGCGGTTCTCCCTGGAAACTATCATAGTTAATTCCTGATGAATTCATCATGATGGGCTAACTGGCCTGTTTTCTTTCTCATCTATCACTCTTCACTGGTGCTCCGCCAGCGTATCCCGTTAGCGCAGGCGGGGTGACTATTTCATTATCATCCATTAAATCTCTTTCCTGTTTTATTAGAAAGTAGAGCAACTTTTAAACTGTAGAAAACTGAACTATAAGTCACTGTTTCAAAGCCTAACGTCTGTCATGGTAAAATAAGAGAACCGAGAAATTGAGTAGAGCCAGGTGTATTGGTTTATGATTTGACACTGTTTTTCTAATTGTGTGCTAATTACTTATAGAACAAAATAAACTTCCAATTTAGTGTTTTCCAAAAGATCGAAGCACGTATACTTGTTTACACCTGGAAACCCTAGATTGCGGTAACTAAAAACAGGCAACCATTGTTTTTAGGTTCTTCACAGCATTAAACACTTATAAGTTACATAACCACAGCATGGTTAAATTTTATCGCGATTGAATAGAATAATAAAGTGTGGGTAAGCAAAATTATTTGGACCACATTGGTGGCCATATATTTCTTTCCTTTGCAACACTCGTGGTTCTATTATATCATGATGGAAAAATCTAATTATACTGTGCCGTTCTACAATAAATTATAGAAGCACCCATCCCTATTGGAATGCCGTTTAATTTATCTAAAAATCTGTATCAATATTATGTGATGTATACCATATCAGCCATCAATTGTCCATTGCTGAGCATAGGCCTCCCCCATTAAGGGGGGTTTTGCCAGTAGTTGCCACGCTTGACAGGCGGGTTGAATGATGTTTTAAGAGGAATGCTGCTGTCCATCCCTCAACTATTAAATTCCCTTAGTTGCCTCTGTATATTACAAATTTTTGGTGACGAATTGTTATCATAAATTATTAATAATATACCTGTTTAATTAAATGGAAGGTGATAGCTAGTTCAAATGTTTGACAATTATTTCACATCATTCAAAATGTCAATATTAATCCAAAAAAAAAACAGTTATAAAAGAAGATGAAAAAACTTAAAGATTTTCTGTCAACAATTTTCTGCGTACCGAAAAAGGGAGAATGTAAATACGAATTAAAAATTCGCGGTAAAAGCAAACCGCAAATGGTACAAAAATTAGCATATTATGCACCTATACTATGTAAATGTTGTTCCGATACTAATACCATCTAATATGGTCATAATTGTAGTCACCAAAAATAGTTTATCAACGACTGAAATTCTCCAATTCTAAGTTAACAGATATGTAATAGTATCATAGACATACAACAAACATACATTTCATATGAAGGAAAGAAACTATTTACTACTTACATTTTAAAAATTGTAAAATGTTATGTTTTTAAAATGTAAGAAACTATTACAAATTCAGTACTATTTTCCGGTCTAGACATCGCAATCGGAATGAATACCTATCTGGACACGACAAAACTCTACCAAAATATTTCAGTTTCCCCTACCTACATTTAAAACAGTGACGTAGAGGGACGAGGGGAGTTAGACGCGCACGTAATCAATACGGAACCCCTCTAAGGTACCTTCACTTCAATATTGCGCGCGCAGTTGGAAAACTCCTCACATAATTTTCCCGCCAAATAAAGTACCTAACAACTTTTCTTTCAGTTTATTATAAGTAAGTACTTATAAAATTCAATGTCAGATATATCTATTGTTGCAGGCATTTATGGTATGAATTAGCCAACTGTAATTGTTTATGAAAACGTAAATAGCCTGTAAAATCACATACCATCAGAGCCGGATTATCCATTAGGCAGTGCAGGCAACTACCTAATGAATTTTTATTGCTTGTTTGTTCGTTTGTAATGGATAAACTCAAAAACTACTCGACCTATTTTAAAAATTCTTTCATCTATAGCTATATTATCAGCTTGAGGCGAGTTATTATTTTAAAAAAATATCTAATCGTGTTCCTAAATAGTCACGATATTTGGCATATACGTATAGACAGGTGTCAACCACAGTTTAAGTTTTGGTTATGCTTTTAGAGGGACGCTGCTACCCATACCTTGACTAAATGCTCGAGAGATAGGCTGCAGCGTAAGATACGACTATGGATAATTAATAGTTTCCTTAGTCCCCTCTTACTAGCTCTTAAAGCCATGGAAAAAGAAGAGGTAGCCTTATATAGCAATCACATGACACTTATGCATATGTCACATTAATTACTAATGCAAACCTAACCTACCGAATAAAATTATTTTTTTGACATTTCTATATTAAACTATTACGCAAATAAAAAAAGAGTGTAATACTTTTAAGGTTCATGTTATGTATCTGATTTCTTTATTCCACCATAACTTCTAAATACCTAACCAGATTTGGATGTTTAACTATATATCGTTAGAACTTTGGCTACATTTTTTTTAAATCGTTTATTGGCAAGGCAATCGTGTTTTTTTTTTTATATGCAGAAGAAAATGTACCTACTTGTTTTTATACATTTAATAGATTTCAATAAATACATATTCATACACCGAAGTAGGTGTAAAATCTTTATATTGCGCAAGCATACGGTAAATTAATGTACTACTATTGCAAGTATTCTCTACCATTTTTCCGAGTCGTCGATTTTTCGCGGCCGCGCATACGACGACCGTCGGCGGCGCGAGAACCGACCGACCGAGTTCAAGGCGAACGCGCGCGGTCAGGTTCGAGGACACGACGTCGGGCCCCTCGCGGTGCCCCTACAGCCCCTCAGTGGGCCTTAAAATGATAATGCTGAAAATGCATAATTGAAACATTCAAAAAAATTTAAGTTCCACAATTTTGTTTCCGTAGGTCACTTGCATACGAAAACTTACATTTTGCCTGCTTAGGTTTCATAAATACATTCAAAGTACCTATTATAAACAACCTAATTTTACAGGTTTAAAACGAATAAACATGATAAAAATAATTAGATAGTTATATTCAATAGATTGTACTATTCATATTGCACGTGAACAAAATGAACTCTAAATGATGAAAACAGAGTTCATGGCCCTCTCTATATTACCTACGACGCAACGTCTACGAGACGGATGAATAATATTTTTTTACCTGTTCAATAACTTCGTACATGAATGACAACATTTGTAAATACCTACTTATGATAACGAAATCCAATCCAAATTATGTACCGTCCCTGCCTTTACTAATAAACACAGACCGGATTTCTTTTATTTTTAAGACGTAAGTACATATCCGAAATTAGCTACTCTAGTAATTTCTTGACTATAAATAAAGAATACTTCACGTAAATCCATTCTGTATAAATTCGGTTTCTAGAAAAGAAAATAGTAAATAAGATCAAAAATCATATAAAACCAACAAGCGAGTTCATTTCCAAATTGAATAGTTTCATAATACGCCTATTTTTTTTTTTTTACATTATTCACGCAAGATTTTTCATCTTGTAGGCTGTGGAGTGTACGTGTGTCAGCATATACAAATAATATTAATATCCCAAATTAATTTGGTGACCACGAAGTTGCCGTATTTTTTTTTTTTTTTTTGCAAAGTTAAATCCTGCTTTCATATGAAACGTTTCAGACTTCAATTATTACTAATTTAGTATGAGACTATTCGTCAAAAACGATTTAGATTTGATAAATATATCGTGTAATACAATAAAAAATTCTAATTGAGAGCATTCACTATTTTCAAATAACTTGAAAGTACTTTCATACTCTCTTACAACTCACGAAAGTTCTGTTTAAATAATTTATTGTCATTTTATGAAAACCTATTTAACTGTTTCTTCAAAAGTTTTTTAGTTGTAGAGTGAACAAAAAGATATCGCTTCAACTGCTTCTGCCCTAATCCTTTATAGTAAAAGCAATAAAATGCTTATTATTATTAGATAAATAAAAAAAACTGCATTTTGCATAAGTTTTATAATTCCGTGTGAAAGCCTAGTCAGTTCGCCTATTTTAAAGGGCGCGGTGTAGCGGCAGCCGTGTCATTAGGGTCGATTCACCCTCTTTCGATCTTATATAACTATCTCTTTCTGCCACCCCAACCAATACTCTCTCTTTCGCCCTTAAAATATCCCCTAGAGATATTGGCGGGAAATTTAAATTCATTTCTATTTATATTATATTCATTCATTGCTATTTTTATATATATTATTTTATTCAATTGTTTACTAGGATTGTTGCGTCAATGAACTCATTACCAGTGAGTACATTAATTATCTATCTTTTAATTAATATAACAGTAATGACTTATTTATTTACCCAGGATGAAATCTAAATCTTTATCATTAAAAAAAAAAATCTATCCTATTCTATATAAATATCCAATTTCACTAAACATTTTTCTCAAAAATTAATGTTTTTTAATCGAAAACCAAAAAAAATTAACTTCTGTTTCTTTGATAAATATGTTCAGTTTCGCAAGTAGATGATACTAATACTAAATGATCTCAGTTTCAGCACCAATGGATAGACTTAAAAAATATTCTAGATGTGTATATAGCTAGCACCATAGGTAACTATTTTGCCTGTTTTAGAATCTATTTCCATATGCTGAAATCTATAGTATAAATAATAACAATTTCTATTCATCGTATCTAATCGAAACATCAAAGTAAACCTTGTTTTCATTTATAAACGTATTACTTAATGGGCTTATGGCATATGGTATAGAACGAGTTTATTTATAGTTGCGTCGAGTAAAAGCATCCACAAAAAATATCGTCCCGAATCTTTGAAGCCTTGGACTGGTTCCGTTCATTGGTACACTTTTTATACACGTCACTATAAACGTTCAACTCCGGGCGCGGACCCTATCCAACAGACAAAGAATTACAGCTTGGTATAGGTCCTTACATTATACTGAAGAAGCGCTGAAAGTAACATAAATAGAATAAATTACTCCCATAAAGACATAAATTTCTCTTGATAGGTAATTCAAAATACGATTGAATGTACTGTATACAATAATTAATGTTATTACCCATTCATAAAATGTATAATACGTTCCTATAACTTTAGCTAAAATCAATAATTATTTAAAAAACAAGTACTAGGAAGTAGAAATATTTGGTTCGATTCAATTTTATATTTCATCGAACACAAGGTGACTTGCCTACGTGCAGTATACTCTTGCGCTGCTAGGGTAGCGCATACCACAAAGCAAAAACAGGTTTCCGTACGGAGTTGTTTCAATGTACTGCCCCACTGTCCCGTTCCGTCTGCTTGCCTGCAATTTGTATGTTATCGAATTGGCGCGAAACTGCATGAACTACGTTATTAGATTACATTTGAAATTGAACGTTATTTTTAATCCATTATGGTTTGTAAATTTCTATTTACAAACTTACTTAACGCTCTTTCATACAATTTTTTAACATGTTTAATAAATTGTTTAGTCATCTTTTACCTAACATTACATTGGCGCATTTTATTATAACAAAATGTGTCTGCCATACATCAGCAAATATAAATAATAATTTAATTTATATACATTAAGTTACATCATGGTAATGAGAAAAATACACAATTTGGAACTGAAAGTATTATCGATTATTGCAACAAATTTCGTAATTGTTATGAAATTTCGTACACATATAATATTTGGTATGAAAAACACAGACTAGTTTTCTTCGAGCTAATCAAAGTATCCCAGTCATGCGAACTGAAAACGAAATGGAAAAAAAAAAAAGAACCTAAAATGTGTATATTGATGATTGATGTATATTCATGATGATTAACTTTATAATTAGTGAGAACTTTTTTCTTTTCTAGGTGTGCTCAGACATGGATTTGTATATTACCGACTCACTCCAGGACATGCTGGACATGGATATCAAAAATGAAATAGCAACAGACCTCAGTAGTATCACAGATTTTTCAGTTAGTATATTACTCACCTACTTTACTAGTTCTTAATGTCTTGTCGTAAATTACTAACTACCTTTTAATCTCTTTCAGGACTCCTTAGGTCTTAATTTTACTGATTTGCCACCATTATTAGATATGGATACAGAGACTTCAACATCGTGGCTAAATCACACTTCTAGTTTTGTACATAATCTAGATTTATATGGATCAGAAGCAAATGCCGTTATGGTCAACCCTAATTCCGTCATGCCATCAACATTTGCTGAAACACCAGTAAAAAATATTGTTAAAGAGGAGGCCTCAAACTTACTGCTAACTTCAGCAGCGACAAACACAGATTTAGATAGTAGCCCATCACTACCAAGTCCTAAAGAAGAGAAGAGTCATCTAACATTTTCACCCAATGCGATCAAAGTTTCAAAACCCAAAGAAACCGAAGAGTCCGCGCCAAAAAAATTAGAAGAAGCCACACAAATGGTCATTTACGTACGAAAACAAGAAAAGAATGTCGTTAAAGATTTAATAAAAGACTTGGATAAGTCTAAAGTTAACAATAACACACCGACAGTGAGAATAAAAACAACGCAACCAGAAATCCTTAAAGTAAACAATAAAAGCTGTTCTATATTAAATACAAGCCAAAAAATAACGCAACAGATTGGCACTACCACTAAAACAATTATTTCGGGCAATATACACATATTGGACGCTAAGCAATCTAGAACAATTTTAAGTAATGGTAACAAAAACCAGGCAACAATATTGATCGATAATTCATCGTTAAATAATAATAGGCAAATATTCAAAACTTCAGTTAGTGGAGCTTTTACTGTAGATACTAACCAAGCTAAATATGTAAATACTAGTAATAAAGGTACAGTCAGCGAATTTCCCAAACCAGCATATTCGTATTCATGTCTAATAGCGATGGCTTTAAAGAACTCAAGAACAGGAAGTCTTCCTGTTTCAGAGATTTATAATTTTATGTGGTAAGTGTAAACATTTTTTATCTTCGTGTATCAATAAAAATTTTGACTACCTTTCTAGTAATGAAGAATTATTAGCAAAATAATTTATTGGAAAGGCAGCGTATCTACGCTTGCTGCCTGCATCATTTGATTCAAATAAGCTCGCCGATATGTTGGATTTCCTGTGTTTTCAATCACCACAACCGTAACTGTCGACAAATCCCTGTGGCTATCGCTTAAGGGAATACTTTTATTTATTTTATTATTTGTGTCTCGATTTTAATGATAATTTATTTATTTCAGTCAACACTTCCCTTATTTTAAAACTGCTCCAAATGGATGGAAAAACTCAGTACGACATAATCTTAGTTTAAATAAATGTTTTGAAAAAATTGAAAAACCATCTACAAATGGAAGCCAAAGGAAAGGTAAGTTTATTAAAAATCATAAAGTATTATTTTATTACATTTAAAAATTCCAGTATTTACTTATTATTATTGTATTGTATTATCTTTTTTTTTTCAGGGTGTCTATGGGCTATGAATCCATCAAAAGTAGGGAAAATGGACGAAGAAGTTCAAAAGTGGTCACGAAAAGATCCACAGGCTATAAAAAAGGCTATGGTTTATCCAGGTATGCATATAAAAATATCCATTTTACTAGAAAAATTACGTTTTAAATTATATAATTTGTATTTTTATATACTTGGCTTATTCAGTAAACTGTGTTGAATGCCTTTTTATTAACAACATTACATAAAGCAAATAGATATCAAGACATTTTTTTGAAAGTACAAAGTAAAATAATTATACAAATATTAAAAGCACAGATACGGCAAAAGATGTGAAAATACACTACCGCTTAAAAGTATTTGGCCACCTGCAATTTGTTTAAGTTACAAACAATAAATTTTGAAGAGATCATTTATTAGGTTTCATTGTTTGTATAACACTGCAAAATATTTATCTACAGTACAGTCGTAAACAGCTTATTGTTATTTGCGGACTCCTGGTCATAAAACCATAATAGTGTTATTGTCAGGATTTCTTGTAAGTTAATCTTTGAAGACGCAAATTTGTTTTAATTTAGTTATTGAAATGTTTTTGTGAGTCTATCGTTAAAAATAAAGGTGGACACGCAAATAAATCCAAAATCTGAAAATTATATTTATATTATGTCTAAAAATGGCTGATAAGCATGGTAAAATTATTATGAAGTAGTTTCACTCGAATCAGACTTACCAAATGTATTTTACTAGGTGACCAAATATTTTTGAGCGGTAGTGTAATAAATATCCTTACAATTTTATGAAGCACGTTTTTCAAACTGATTGTGAGAACTTAAATATACTGGGTTCTCATTCTTCAATTGATTACATATTATACACATTAGAGACTTCTTCAAACCAACCCATCCCACAGTGTTTTGGAGACTGCATTTTTATTATTCATTTTATATGAGAAAACTGTGTAAAAAATGGCATCCAATTATAAATTACAGAAAGCTTAGAAGCATTGGAAAGAGGAGAAATGAAGTACAGCGGTATAGGTGGCGACATGGATGCTGATGACGACGCGGACGGAGATGCAGACGCCGAACTAGATGTAGATATAGAATTAGACCCAGAAATTAAAGAGGAAGTAGAGGAAGAAGAGGCTATTATTGAACAGGTATAATCCCTTTATTAAGTAAGAAATAATCAAATCATATTAGACTGCCTAATATAGCGACCTTATTTAATGAAACTATTATTAGCTGACCTAGCAAACAATGATTTACCGTTTACCACTATCTACCGGGTCCATTTTACCGGGGACTATATTATTTCCCAAATTCGAACAAATTACTACACATTTACAAAATTTCATTTAAATTGGTTGAAAGTTTTCGGAGATACTTGTGAACAAACATCGTGACACGAAAATTTTATATATATTAAAATTAGTGCAGTTTCAATATTTCTTTATTCTTTTACAATAGCTTATACATTTTATCGCTGAGAAATATCTTAATGAGATCAAATATATGTATCTATGTATGTATTCTATCAGTTCTCTTTTAACCAAAGGTTGTAAGAGATTGCCCTAGTGATAAGACCGCCTTTTGTACCTTTATGTATATATTTTAAACTGTATATATTTTAAACCTACTTTATGCTACTATATTTTATTTGAATTGTTATAAACAATTCAATGTCATTGTTTATTTTTATGTTTCTAGTGCAATAAAGAGTTAAATAAATAAATAAATGTACATTATATGATCACATGTATGTTATACTAAGTCTATGCATCACATTTTGTTCGTGATATTTTAACAAACAAACCCCTTAGATCGGTATTAATAAAGTCTTCCCAGCTTTTTCTAATAGAAAAATTGACAAAATCCTTTTCCTAATTGTTTTAGGAGATGTCAGACCAAGAATTAGAAGTGGAGGAAGTTGTAGAAGGCACAGGCATGGTCGGCGGCACTTATAGGTTACTAGCAACGGGACCGTCTTCGCTCACATCTTATATAACTGACGTGGAATCTGGTGAAGAAGTTAGCGATGTAGAGGTAAATATTACCTATAATTGTAATATGTTATTGTTAAGTGTTGTTAAACTTTTATCTAACTTTGTACGTGTGGATTTTGGAAGTATGTAACCACTTCTAAGTAGCATGTCAAGGTAAAACACCAGATTTTTATCTTCAAAAAGACAACTGTGTAAACTGCATGTAATTTCATGCAGTAGTTTTTGTATGCATATTTCAAACGTATAGAGAGAGAAATTCAAAGAAAGAATTTCTTTTTTAAAGCTCTTATTAATTAATACGTCATATATATATTTTTTAAATATTTCCTATACGCAAACATCATCTTATTACAGTATTATTATATGAATATATATTAAAAATGTAATTTAATATCTAGCTATAGCCCGTCAAGCACGTGCGCAGAACTTTCGAGTGCAAACTGAAATATATCTAAGTGCCTGCATACATATACCTATTACTATGTATACGTGACTTTTTTATCAAACAAATTAACGTATCCCACTACTTAAAATGTGAATACACTAACGGTTTGTTTGGTTACAGGTATTGGATCAACCGTATGAAGAAATTGATATTGACCTTACAAAACCCGTAAAATTGGATTTGTCTTTAACGGAAGACTATACAAGTAAGTTTTAATTATTAACCATTTAATATACTGAATTTTACCTTTATTTTACATTGGAATTGAAACGTTTTACATTCTCGAATTGCAATACTCTCAACATAATGGTTCCATATTGTTCTGATAGATGCATATTAGTGCAACTTGCCAATGCAAACTATTGCAAATCGATTCCAATTTTAACTTAATTCGTAATTGTTATATCATAAGTGCAGTACGAAATTGTAATTTATACTAGATTGGATTAATATCGATATTAAAGAGTAGACCTACTGATTTAATGTTAGACCATCAAGACAACTGGGAAAACCGCACCCATAGTGACAGTTTTTAGTGACAGCTTAATAAATAAAAAAAGAGTATTGTAGCATAATCAACTTTATAGTTCACTAGCAGAGTACTATTTAAATGACTCATAAGAAATATTTAAAAATGTATAATTATTTTTGAAAATTGACAGTTAATTGCGATGTTGCCATACTTTGTTACGAACGTTCTTAGTCTGAAATTGGCAAATACATACTGTAGTTCATCCCTTCATATATATCCTTCTGAACTTAATGATCAATGAGACCAAATTAAGTTATTATAAATAGATCGTCAACATAGATGGAAAACGAGATAATAAAATTTTATAGTTTCCAGATAATCACGGTTTTTTTTCATTCCTTTATCGTAATCAATAACTGGAAGATATTTTAATACAAATCGACAATAACTTCATATTTTTTTTATTTTAAGTTTCCGTTACGAGTGAAGTAAACGAACCTATTATAGAAAATTTCCTTTTTTATTACAGTGCATTCAGCCAAACGAGCGAAAACAAATTTGGTTTACCAGCCTGTTTCCACACAAACGCACACGAGCAGACGAAAAACGCCCCTTGTCAATAGAATCGCATTGATATAATTAAAATTGGTAAATATTAAAAAATGTAATTCATAAAAATGTGATTGTAATGATATGGGGTCAATGGTAGTATGACATGTAGTATCTCCAATTATTGTTCCATTACTATTAGATTAGAGACGAATAACGCGATTACTAGTAATTAGCTGTGAATTGTGTAAAGTTATGAGTTTGTTGAGTGCAAACGTGATAGTCTGTACCAGATAAGTGTATTTACATACATATGATACAAGCTTGACACACTTGTTACATATCTTCACTGTAAAGTAGTCTTTATTTTTTATGTGAAGAAATTCGAAATCCGAATATAAAGAATCTTTTAGACATTGTAGATATATTAGGGTTTAATTGTACATCCGTTATTTTTTCCTTTTCATGTTTTAGATATATTCTATTCAATCATAATACACACAAACAGTACAAAAATCTATTTTGCTGCCAGTATAACTTCGGCGTTCATCTACTTAATTAATCATCGAAAACTTATTAATATGATAAATAATTCTTATTAGATAATAATTCAATATCCATGCCCGAGCGAACACTAGCGGGTATATTAAGTAAAGATCCCACCGCTTATATGTAAATATTTATACATGTATTTGTTATATTTTCATACAATTCAAAATTATTTTATGTATACATTTGTATTTATAATAATGAACTTCAGTAAATATTAAGTAGGATTTTTTGTTTTTTTTTTTTTTTTTTTGAAATAAATCGCGTAGATTTAGAAGTGTGTGTCTGTAATGTAATATTTGTTTATTTGACTTTGAACATAGCTACGTGATAAGTTATATAATATAATATATGTGAAATTATTACTTTTCCTGTAAGGACTGCTAAAGGCGTATTGACACAATACCATAAAATTCCAAATGCAATTATATATACATATAATCTATTTTTTTTTTTTTTATATACTAAACGCAAATAATAAACAATGTTATCATGTCTTTTTATCGAATTCAGTCATTTACAAGTATATATTGCTCTACAAAAAGTGCCTACTTCCGTTTTTGGAAGTTGTTTAAAAGATAAAACAAACGAAATCCATCATTATTAACGCCTTGTCTATTCCCGTTTATTTGGGGTCGGAACACTGTCTTCTATTACAAATCTGTGTCAACTGTCATTTTTGGGCTCTCTTAATTACCTTTTCTTTGATTTTTATGGATAGTTTTAGAACTTCTGGTAATAATAATCTATAAATAATCAATCTTCGAGTGTTGGCAGTTGCACGCATATTAAACGTATATTAAATAGTAGCGAAATTAAACAATTGCAATCAGTGATATAGACTTCCCCAAAATAACATCTAGTTCAGTAAAATATTTTCGTTGGTCGTCGAATATGCAATAATATCTAATGAATTTAAACTTTTTTTTTTTATTTTATTCATTTTAACTTCGATAAAAAGATATCAAAATTCTTTACTAACTGTGCCAAGAATAAAAAAAAAAGAAAATACTTGTTATTATTTAAGCTTCGTTCACACATTGAGGAACCGTGATTCCTATTAAATAGCTATTTATAACGAATGATTAATTATTATTTTTGGACTGTAAACTATTATGATGTTATTCATATGCTCGTGAAACGTGAAAAATAATAATATTAATCAGGACGAATCGCCACTTCTTTTCACGATTCGGTTCTTATTAATATGAACGTCCATTCCTCTTTATGTAGCTTTGACCCGACAAGGTCAGTTGAGCTGAGGTCAATGTTTGATTTGACGAATCATATTGAATCGCGGTTTTTATATGTAAACTCGTCAGTGACGATTGTATGTGTGAATTGATTATTACATTTAATTTGGTAAATACCTGAACAATATAAAGTTGATTGTCGGCAATTAGCAACTTTAATTTATATTTAATATGGAATTCGTAGAAGTGGAGCATATAAGCTATCAAATATATAGGACCATATTATATCCTAAAGTCCTACAAACAGACTACAAATCACGACCTCACTACACGAAATTCCTAAACTGCAATAGATATACATATATTGTAAAACAACAATCAGTAAAACTATTGTTAAAATAAAAGAAAAAAGTGCAACATTAGTTTAGTAAACTGGTTTAGATTATGTTCCTATATATTTTATAGTGTAACTAATGATATATAGAAACCTATATATACATTACTTAATTTCTCGGTATGTTTTTACAAAATCAGCCGTAAGTATATTAATAAATTATGTTAGTTCAAAATTTAAATGATATGACTAATTAAAACTGAGTATTAAATAAAATATGTTGATTATCTGGTATCCGAGACATGTATAAAGAAATATTCTCTTCAATTATGTAGATACCTTCATACATTACCATTAGTTCAGATACATGTTCTTTCACTTAAAACATTTTATTATGGAGATAACTATGTTGTAACTGATGGAACATGTTTTACAATAAAGTTAAAATCTGCTTATATAATATATAGCTGCCACCACAAGAGTTAAGTTATAACACCTATATGCGTATATGTGGAATTATATGTGTATATATATATATATATATATATATATATATATATGTATGTATAATTTCATCGCTCATCGTAGTTTATATTTGCAGACGAATCCTGAATAAATTGCGAAATACGAAATACTTTGTTGCGAGTTAAAAACTGAAATATCTGGTAAAAGACTACTCCGCGCTCGTATATCGTGGATTGTTAACATTTCGAGTCTGAATATTAAACCCACTTAACTCTTATAATGGCACCTATACATAAAATGATTTATGGACAAACATTTATTTTATATTTCAAATTTGTATATGTTTTCTTATGTAAAATATATAAATAAATGTATTTATATGTTTTATTTGATAGAACATGATTAACAATATTGTAAAAAAAAAAACATCTACTTAGTCATATAAAGTGTGAGCGAATTTAGAATGAATGTTGTAATTGGTTGTGTTGGTAGATCTCTTGAATTTAAATAATGATATTTCAGTTCATAATTAGCATTTATATGTAAAGAATATTGTAAAATACATCAAAATTAATATAATCATGAGTGCTGTCACAAATAAAAATAGTGTTTGCATGAAAACAGTTGTTTCATGAATATACGTTAACATTCCATTTTTTATGTCAGTCCTGTGAGTTCCGTGACACTGTGTTGACCAATGGAAACGTATTTAATTTAGTGAAAAATAATTAACACTGACTAAAACTTAACTATGGTTCAAAAATAGGGTATGTGGTCATAATAGTCAAATTTTGAATTATTTGGCTCCAGTAAGAATAGTTTCCATTTCTAGCGAATGTATTCACCATTAAGGCATTTCAATGCTAAAGTCTTAATGCTTTAGAAGTAAACAATTAGAAGAAACTGTGATATAAAATTACTATAAATTGAAATAAGAGTGATTCTCAAATAAATGTGTAATTGCTAATATTGTAGTAAGTATAAAATTAGGTAGGTATATAAAGTAAATAATACCTAGTAATATAACAATATATTGTCTAGATGCGCAATAAAAATACATTAACATTTAAAAATAAATTTTGCTTAATGGCTATTTATATTACTATAGAGAGATAATGAATATTAAAAATACGCCTAATGACATAATTTATACCAATTTATTAAATGTATTGTCATCTTACATTTTAGGAAAAGTTAGACTTTAACTGAAAATGTGGAATAGTGTAACATTCGCTATAAATGATTTTTTCTATTTTAGTACTAATATAGCCACATTGGTACCTACCAGCACAAATCACTGTGCCCTATTATAGTAAAATTATTAAAAAGTAGTGGTTTGGCATACAAATAACTTATTTGAATATTTGTATTTAGGATATGTATCTTGCGATCGTGGTATGTTGGAATAAATTGCCAGTGAGGGATCGAAATTTAAATATACTTTTACGATACTAAAAAATACTGTAAGAATAAATTAGGTGCTTTTGTATACTATTTTTTAAAGTAGAACAGTGCAATTTTGTAAATACATATATAATGAAATCACCTTTTTACTTTACTAGATAATTCTAATAAATTAAGCTAAATTGAATCAGTAGGGACCTCTCATAAACAACAATTGTCATGAATATGTGCTCAATGCATTTATGTGTAGGTACTGTAATTAACACAATAATAGTACCCAACAAATATGAGCGCGCTCTTCTATGTAAATTCGCTCACAAATCTCACAGTTCATTTTTTTGTTACAAAATTACAGTGATGTATAACAAAGGTGTTAACGATTATTTTGCCAACCTTATTCTTCCATGTTAAGTTTTATTAACAATGAATGAGCCATATTATGTAATAGATACATTATAACAGTTGTCACAAGTGTAATGTGGCCTGTAATTTTGTATGTACAGTAAAAATACTAGTAGTTAATGTATTTTTCCACTGCCAGTATTTCAACATCCATGTTAAGTAGGAAATTAGTACGTAAGTTGGATAATGATAATGTTTAGTTTATGTTTAGTGTTGCATTAAGAAGAATAAGTTGAATGATTTTTAATAACATTTTTATAATAAAAATTTAATGAATAGAAGATATGTTCTATTATTTTTACATATTAATATACCGCTGAATCAAATATCAACCATACTCATTTTTTATGTATCGAACTAGCAAACAAGCTAATTGTACTTTAAGTAAAAAATATAATCTTAGCTTACGTTGCATAAATAGCACCATAGTCTATTACACAATACACTGTGATACCCATGATGCCTCTTCATACATTGTCATTCCTGAGGATAACTGTTTTGTCTCCTATAATAATTTTACTACCATGATTCAGTTTAAAGTTACATGGATATAACATGAATACCTTTAAGAAGCCATAATATCAATCTTTTACACTTTTTTAACATTACAAATTACGTGTTTACGTGTAGATTTTGCATCACAAGTAATTTTACTCTGCAATAAATAAAAACAATCGTCACAAAATTAAATTGGGACCGAACACGATAGCAATTCCTGACGATTGCAAAAAAAAAATGTGAAATCGGTTTGCAATCGTCCATGTAAAAAAATCAGTACATACTTGAAATGGTATCATTGCGTGCTATATATATATATTAGTTAATAAAAATTTTCTGACTTTGTGTCTGTGTGTGTGTGTGTGTGTGTGGCACGCAATGTACTACTTTTATTCAAAAACCAATATAACGTCGTAATTTAGAAGTCACGAATTCGATTTTGTTTTACAAAAAACCGACTTCAATTTAGTAAACCTTTACGATAAAAATCATTAAAATCGGTTCCAAATTGTCTATGGTATTATTTAGTAATTTTTACATTTGATCATTTAAGTGATGCAGAACTTCATGAAGTTCATTGAAAATATTGTAATTTCTGCGACAATGAATGTTGACAATTAGGATCTTAAAAGAGATGATCCTTCTTCATTTTATAAAATACATTCACATGATTGATGATAGAAAGCGGTTTTTAGTGTTACAGATCATAGAAGTATTTTACGTAGGTACCCAGTATCTCTCTGAGTGTAGAAAGATCACAGATACTCATAGGTTTATTACATGACCTACTTACGCGTCCGCTAATAAGGGCTAATATACCCGACACCATACGTCCGCGGACAACAATTAATTTGTTAAAATCGTAAAGAGTAGTATAGAAAGTTTATTTACCGTTATGTTTATTTTTAATTTGGACTAGTTTATGCCCGCGACTTCGTCTATGGCACCGGAATATTTTAATTAACTAAAATAAGAAGAAACTTAGGTATTTTCTTCTTCATTCCAAATGTTACGTGTATGCACAATTTTGAAACAATTAGTTGAGCGGTTAAGGCGCTGTGAAATAAAATAGGTTCACATTTATAATATACTAGCGATCTGCTCCGCCTTCACACATATAAATAAATATATTAACTTCAATAGTAAAATTTTTGATAACTTGGGTTAATTTATTGTAATTTTCGTAGGGCTCACTAAATTTATAAAATAATATATAGCTTATCTTGCTCGCTGATGGTGTGACTTCCTGTAGGTGAAATTTTTTTTAAATCGGATGAGCAATTTTTGAATTTATTCAACAAATATACTAAAAAATCTAATCTTTCCCTAAGACTACATATAGTGATGTGCGATTTTAGTAATCCGATTATTAATTATTAGACTGATCAATTCATTGGGATTATTCAATTGATTTTCAAATCATTCGATTACTAATATCTATAATAAATCAGTCATTATTAGTAGTTGTTCATGTACGAATCGGTACGAATGTAGCCGAGATCTCCAACGGCGGAACCACCAGAACAGCCCCAAACTATCACAGACCCTCTGTCGTATTTAACTGAAGCCACAGTACAAACGTCATTCATCCTTTCGTTTAACTGTCGCCTTACGAAAACTCTTCGTTTGATTCCAAAAACTGAGCTATGGAGAGCATGTTTTCTGATCTAATAGCTTCAAATAACTAACGTAAAAATATTTGTAGTGGATATTTTATTTCTGTTTATTTCTCAATAACTAAATCAAAACAAAATTGCGACTTCAAAGATTAACTTCCAAGAAATTCTGATAATAACACCAGTGGCGTAACAATAGGGTGGTAGGGCTGGCAAAATGCCACGAGCCCCCGACCCAAAAGGGCCCCGGCTCAAGAGGCCGCTAGCTCAGATTTTTTTTGCGTTGTACCTGAGTATTTTATTTTACGTGAAAAATATTTTTTTTTTATTAATAGGGCCCCATCAAAAGAATTTGCGACAGGCCCCAAATGGTATAGTTACGCGACTGAATAACACTATTATGGTTTTATGACCAGGAGTTCATAAATAACAATAAGCTGTTTACGACTGTATTGTAGATAAATATTTTGCAGTGTTATACAAACAACGAAACCTAATGAATGATCTCTTAAAATGCATTGTTTGTAACTTAAACAAAATGTAGATGGATTAAGTATTTGACTTAATTAATAGTATATTATTTTGTTTACTAAACTTATAAATGATTGGTAGGCACCATTAAATAACAAATATACTACTACTACTATTGTAAATGGGAAAGTTTGTGACAATGGACGGGTATTTGTTACTCTTTCACCCATTGATCATTCTGACATAAAACATAGAATATTTAATGTAAAGTTTCACGCGGGCAAAGCATCGGTTTAGAGCTAGTTTACAAAATTACTATTTTACATCGTGATGTTTTAAAATAGCATCTTTACATATATTGGTAAATGATTTGACTCAATTTATTATACTATTACGATACTGCGAGCTACACGATGGCTCCATTGGGAGGCAGGGATTATGAGTAATGGGGATTAGAAACCCTATCAGCGACCCTGAAGAAACCTCTTTACCCCCCTTTTGAAAAACCCCATGCTGTAGTCTCTTGGGAAAATCTCAGCAGGGAGCTCATTCCAAAACCTAAGTGTTCGTGGGAGGAAACATCTCTAAAACCGCGCAGTACGCGACCACTGAGGCTGTAGGACATGAGGATGAACTCCCTGTCGATGGCCGTACAATGGTAGAAAGTGGCTGTGGGCATCATATTGAACAATTTCTCTGACCACAATCCGTTGTACAAGCGGTAGAACACGCAGAGTGTGGCAAAATCTCTCCTAAGACTTAAGGGTTCGATACCGCTTGTGAGCCTGGGATTATCGACAATTCTCATAGCTCGTCGTTGCAATGAGTCGAAAGGTTCAAGCTGGTATTTAGGTGCTTCGGCCCATTAGTGACAGCAATACTCCATGTGGGGCTGGATTTGCGATTTGTAGAACGGTAATCGCTGATCCGGTGTGAAGTAATGCTACGCTTTATTAAGCACACCGAGTTTTTTAAATACCAGCTTCATCTTATCTTCGAGGTAGCCACGGAATTGTACATCACTAGAGATGTCGACACCATATAGAGAAAGATCCCAATGCTTTTAGAGATGTTTTTTTTTTTGTGGATGAAAATGGAATGGTAGCCCCGCCTGTGCTAACGGGATACACTGGCAGAGCACCAGTGAAGGGTGATTGACTTTTAGAGATGTTAAGAGACGTGCCTTGGAACTGTGGAGCACAGCAAATGGGGTTTTCTTAGCGGTAAACGCGCAAGTTTGTGTCTTAGCGGGGTTAAACTGGACTAAGTTTTGTCGTCCCTAATCGGAGACTCTAGTTAACGTTCTCTCGATTTTAGACACAAGCTGCTTACGATTGTCCTCCACGATGCGACGAGGGACATTGGTACGACCCGTATAATGGGCATTCCCAGTGCTGTCATCCGCATAACAATGAATGTCATCTAAGCACAACATATCATTAATATGCAGCAGAAACAATGTTGGGGATAGTACAGAGCCCTGCGGGACGCCAATGTTAATGTCCATGCTTTCGGAGCAGCAACCATCAACAACAGTTTTTATGCATCTGCCGGACAAAAAACTGGCAACCCATTCGCAAAGGCTGTCGGGAAGTCCATAGTAGGGCAATTTCAATAAAAGACTCCGATGTCAGACCCGGTTAAAAGCTTTTGCAATATCAAGACCGACAGCGAGCGCCTCACCCTGACTTTCAATGGCTGACACCCATCGGTGCGTAAGATATACCAAGAGGACACCAGTTGAGCGACTATAAGCGAGTTGACTTATATTGTAATAGCCAGCTATCAGCTATCAGCTTTTATATGAAGGACATTATAATCGACCCAATAGCGTTACGCTTAGAATTAGCTATTTAGTTGAATAACTGCCTTGCTGCATTACATCGGGTTCAATTCTCAAAATGCGTTGAGACACAGTAACATGTTACATCACAAGTTAGATGATGTGATTGTGTTTCTTTTATTTCATTATTTCTTTATTCAACAAACTGCTTTGTAACATACAAAGCAATTTGATATATCCATTAGCAAATAATCTCTCAATTTTGTTCATAGTAGTGCCATCTATGCAATATTGTAAAAAGCTTAAGCTGTATCAACTATAACCAACTCAAAGTTTAAGTTTATAGATTATAGATGTCGCTTACTGTTGTTTAAAATGAATTTTTGATAATATTCATCAAAGGCACTACTACTAACGGAGAAGATTTTTTATTTATTAATAAATATACTCGTAGTAATGACTATAAAACAGATCTTTCAAAGAAAATTAGTAAATAATATAAAAATTCTTTGTAGTTGCTATATAACCGAATATCGGTAGTTAGTTACCTATTGCTACAACACTAGTCACGTGTCAAAACAAAATCTATCAACTAATTCGCATAAATAATTTTGATAATAAATCTATCTACATTTTACTGCATGGACTATAAAATTTGAGTCAAATTAAATTCAAATATCATTATTACTAATTCAATTAGTTGAAAATCTACATTATCATAACGTAGTAATAATATAAAATGTCTACTCGTGAAATACTTACTTTGCAATTTGGTCACTATACAAACTACGTTGGTTCCCATTTTTGGAACCTGCAAGAACTTAGTTTTGATTACACAGGGACCAAAAAATCTGAAGTGAACCATGACATCCTATATCGAGAAGGTCAATCTACCAGAGGTGAAGTAACTTATACACCTAGGTTACTTTTAGCCGATTTGAAAGGATCTTTCAAAACTTTACCAGTAAGCGGTGGTTTGTCGAATGATGATGACGAAAAGCAAATACCATGGGACAACGTAGAGAAAATAGAGGAACCAACAGCTGAGAAGAATAACTACTTAAATGATATAGACACCCAAGGAACATCATTGGAATCAAGACAGTATAACTTAGACCTAGATACTAAAACATGGACAGATTTTCTATATCCCAGATTTCATTCGCGTACTATTAATATTGTTGAGGAATATCAACATGGCAGTGATAATGTAAGTTTTTAATACTAATTCATCATCTTCCTAACCTTATCCCAATCATTTGGTGTCGGCGTAATATGATTTTATCCATATTACAAAAAGATTTGGTTTTAAGTTATTATTTTATGACCGGCCACCTGCCTGACGGAAAATTAGTCCCTCTTTGGAAATACATTTGTTTGTGGTTTCCGCCACCTACGGTATGGAGGAAAGGATTGAAGAAAAAAGGAAGGGAATGTTGGAAATGCATAAAGGAAATTGGTGAATGAGAGGAATAAGGGACTGATGTGGGAAAGGAAAGGGGGTGGGACACTGCAGTTGCGGAAAGGACTGGGACACTGCAGCGGCTCCGGAGGCCGGGGTCGTATATCCATATGCCCTTATTGTAGAATCTGGCAGATTTCTAAAAAAGGAACACCCCTGACGCGTTTTTTTTTTAATACTAATTAAGTTTTTAATACTAATTGTACCATGAATAATTTATTGTTTTATATTAAAATTATGAATAATTTTTCCTGATGAGAGAATGAGAGATATTTGTCAACTGATACTATTATATTGAATGACAAAAATGATAAACTTTAATTGTAATAATGTATATAAGATTAAATAAAAAAATAATTATGCCTACTTTCAGAATGTAAAAGAAATTTATGTACAGTATAATCATCATCAGATAATAATGATCAAAACAGTGGCCAGTTTAGATAACGTACATTTCAGATATACCAGTGTCCCCTGAAACACCCCAAATTGTATGAATATTACAAAATATGATCAGAAAATCTACATACATAGAATATTAAGATTGTGAATGAGTCTGCACGTTTTTGATTGAAAATTTTTGTCAACATGTGACAAAAGCACCAAAGTATGATTGGAAACTCAGTTTTTAAATGATAAATAACAGCTCATTTTATTTTGCATTCTTACAAAAGAAAATGTGTATATTTGGCAGTAACAAAAATGCAAGAATTTTACATTTATTACCTGTTCTTGAATGGGTAATCAGCAACTCCATTGCTGGCGATAAATCTTATCAAATCCCGTCTATCTCTTCAAGGTTCTCCTTGGAAATCATTATGATTGACTTATTGTAGAATTCATCATGATGGCCTAACTGACTTACTTCATCCTCACCTGTCACCTAACTGGTGCCTGCCAGTAAATTAATTAAAAAATGATCTTTTGAAGGAAAAATAAACTATAATACAAAATCATGAATTTGAGTTGTGTAATTTATGTTCTTAATACACGACATATATGAAGACATGTAAGAAAATTTAAAAAAAATAATTGTTAAGATAAAGCAGATTTTTGATAAACGTAACTCAGATTTTTTTTTATAGAACTTAGAATGGCATACAAGCTGACGGCCCACCTGATGGAAAGTGGTAACCGTCGCCTATAGACATGAGCAGTACCATGAACATAACAGAGTATACTGTTTTAGCCCATGATATCCCCCATGCGTTGCCATTCCTGAGGACTCAGATGTTATTCCTCTGTACCCTGTAAATTCACGCTATATCCCATCCTTCAAACCAAAACACAGCCATGCAAACACAACTGCTCCACAGTAGAAACATGAATGGGATAGAGGTACCCAAGCAATCAAACTGTATATATATTTTTTAAATTATATAATTTTTTTTTTCAGGAATGTTTTGATATTTCTTATGCTGGGCGATCAATATGGAAATCAAATTTTGGAGACATATTCAGTGACAACATCAGAAAATATGTAGAAGAATGTGACAGTATGCAAGGTTTCCAGGTGAACTTTGATTGTACTGATGGATTTGCTGGTCTTGCATTGAGTTGCATTGAACACCTTGCTGATGAGTACACAAAGTCTATATTAGCACATCCAATCATTCCGTCACATTTCACAGATAACAATCCAAGCATACAGGAAGAAAGAGACAAATCTAATCTGAGAGATTCAACAAGACTTGTTAATATTGCACTGTCTATTCAAGAATTATCAGAACATGTTTCCCTATTTGTGCCAATTTGTACAGGAGAAAGAGGTTGGAGAAAACCTGGCAGTCCAAGAATTTTTGAACATATTAATTACAATCCTGAATTATATTACCATTCTTCTGCTTTACTGGCTTCAGCATTGGATACACTCAGTCAAAAATATAGGCACAAAAGTAATTTTTATACAATATCCGATATCTGTGCTGACATGTCAGGTTATGGTAGAAAAATGGCTGCAGCATCATTAGGTATTCCATTTGCTATTAATGAATCTGAATATTTGATAGATTACTTGAATAATACTACTAAGCCTATATTTACATCTATAACACCTAGTTGTAAAATTGCAACAGATAAAATATTCCAGTTAATAACTGTAAGAGGTATCCCAGAAAGTTACTTGAAACCATCCATGAAAGAAGCTAAGGACCAAATAAATTTACCTGCATATAGGTGTAATACTGTAAAAGAAATGTTCCAATTGTACTTCCAAGCCAGTAATTTCCTCTCTGCAACAAATATGACAGTGTGTGAGAAACCCCTTGAACTAAAAGTGCCATTCCCTAATTTTTTTTCTGATAATCTTAACAAATATGGTTTTATTAAAAGTGACAACCGTATTGAAGATATCGAAAGTTGTGCTGTTATAACAGGATATCACAATGGAAATTTCCTAGCAGATATGCTTGAAAAACTCCATAGAGAAGTTAGTAGAATAAAATTTGCTAAATTACATAAGTTCCGAGAAGAAGGTTTAGAAGCTGCAGATTATTCAGAGAGATTAGATAGACTTTCTGAATTCAAAGACAATTATGAAGATGAGTTTGAATTATAAATTTATTTAAATGTACTGATTTTACAATTATACAGAGTTGATCCTTGTCATTCATCGCAAGAGATTCATTAAAAATTATATGGAAACTTTAATTTTCGATTTTTCTCAGGCATTCAATATGTTGCTGTTATTGGACTATTAGATACAAATGCAAGGTGCATTTGTATCCAATAGTTCAGTCCTTGAAAAATATAATTTTACCTTTGTGTAATTATTGACTAATTGTTTGAACTGAAGCAGATGTATATTCAAATATGCTTTAACCAACCACATTGCTAAATTTGTAATGATTTTTAATCTGCAGTGAACATGTTTATATTGTATTAGCATGAGCATTCACTTTTTTTATTATAAGCATATTTGTCTTACGTTTGTAAATAATTTATAAATGTATTTTAGGTTTCTGTAAAAACCTATTATTAACTTCACTATATCTAAATATGTAATGTACCCCTTATACAAAAATAAACAATTTTATCAAAAATTATTTAATAATTTCCCAACCCATCACCACCACCTATCGTTTATAGTCATCATGCGCATCTTGCAAACTTCTGAATTATACCTTCCCAACAGTTACTTGCAGTCGACCTCCATGTTGTCCCCCTTGGCAACAATAAAATGTCCCTTGCACTTATTAATATATACATAATATTTATTAATAATCCTCTACAATAACACTTGTATTATTTTTAGTAAGGATATATTCATTTCACTGTTGTCATTGTTGATTTGTACTATATGGTTTAGGATCATTACTTGATCTTTATAACAAGCAAATGGAAATAAAATTTTATGTTTTCTCCAGTTTGGATGCATAATTTTTATCACAAACACTGGCATAGGATATTTAAGTACTAATACACAGTTTAATCAGGTGTAATTTAGATATATATTAAATTTTCTATTTTTATTAATAAAATATACATGAACTCGATGTTTAAATGTCAAGTGGCGCCACCGTATATCGTTAGCGTAAGCGGGAATACCATTTGATTATTACATATTTAAAAAACAGTTTTTTATTTTTATCAAGTGGGAAATTAAGACATCAATTATAAGAAATAAAAAGAATTGTAAAATTCATATATTTTATTTACGATGATTTAGATAAAATAAGTCATATCTCAACCACACAATCGCAATTGTACACATTTACACCGAGCCACGACACTACCGTGATCACGACGAACGTTCTAACGCTCTTTCTTTCATTCTTGTTATAAATGCTGCACCTTTGTTCTTTCTAAAGTTTTCATAAGGATCATTCAAATTCACACCGACACCTGAAATAAAAAAAAAATACATTTTTATAATAATACGGGTTTATAACAAAATCCTTTAAATCCTGTGACACACTTTGAAGAACAAAATGCGGAAGGTAGACTTGAAAATAAAAAAAATAATAATAAAAAGAATTCAAAGAAAAACTACAATTCTATTAACTAATAGAACGTAACTCGTAACTACGAGTATGTGCGATTTAAATAACACATATTCTGCCCTCCCCCCCCATGTCATCGTGGTGAATTCCAAGTTTATTTATCACGATGGACTAACTGACCTGCCTTTTCATTCTCACTTATATCCCTCACTGGTACCCCGTATAACGTTAGCACAGGTGGGGTTACCATTGCATTAAAATAAAACATTGAAACACAGTTGACGTATTTAAGATTATTTTCCAAGGGAGAGAGAACCTGGCCTCTTAAAAAGGCTAATTAATGACATACACCTGTTACATTAGGGCAGACAGAAAGGACAAAAGCCCCTAAATAAACAATATAAAAGACATCGCTTTGCGAAGCTTCTCTCGCATCAGAGTGTGGGCGAGGCTTATCCGCCTCTCCTTCTATATATGTCTATGTTCAACACATCACCTATTTAATCAAAGTGTGTATTTTGATGTTTGTTTTTTTTATAGGATTAATTAGTACAAATGTTTTACCTTTATATTGATCTTGCCTATCACGCACTGTGCCTCCACTGATGGGTTCTGCAATGCCTTGACCAGAAGCGCCAAGGCCACCTGCACTCCAGCCCATCTTTTGCAGGAGTTGGTGTCCTTTGTTACTAGGATCTAAACCACTAGATGTAGTAGGGTAAGCTCCACCACTGTAGACATGCAAAGGTATAAGTAAATTTAGAATATACCTATGTATTAATATATGGCCCATATTATAGTGAACAGTTTCCAATTCCTATCACCAGTAAGTATTAACCCTTTGCACTCCAGCCTAATAACTCATAGAGAATACCAATATATATATATATATATATATATATATATATATATATATATATATATATATATAACAGGATATAAAAATATCCTAGGCAATATAAATAGCAGCAAAGCATCCTAATTATCTTACAAAGATATTTTATTCGTGCAGACAAATTTGTAGTTACTCTCTAAATGGCAAAATATGTTAATTTTGAAGATTTTACATATTGGACATATTAAAGAGATGAATAAGTAATTCACTAACAGGAAGCTAGGCGGTGTTGGTGATCTGGAACGTTCGACACGTCGAGATCGTGGTGAGTCGCGGTGACGCTCGCGCTCTCGGGAGCGGCTGCGCGACCGCGAACGAGATCGTGATCGAGACCGCCTGCGACCTTCAAATAACGAATGCGATTAATAAATACAACTTATAAAAAAAGTAACTGGCTGCATTATAAATAAGGATAAAAAAATATTATTCATGTATGTAGCAAAATCAGCATGATTGAGCTTAGATTATATAGTGTCTCCATACAAATGCTTCAAGACAAGCGGGTCAACTTTTTACATACAATTTTGCGTGATAAATAGTTTTAATTTTGTCTTATAACTTCTGCACCTTTTTAATGTATATTAATTTTATTTATTTAATAATACGTCAAGATCAGGGTTCGCCGATATACATCACGATATATATCAATTGATTTTTATCTTGATAAATTGATTTTTTCCTGTCTTCTAAACTAAAAATTTTGGAGATTAATGTTTACCTTGGCAACACGTAGAGAAAAACTACGTGTTGCCAAGTTTACTACGTTTAGTTTCTACGTTTTTTAATTGTTCATTAAAAAAATATTTCTCAAATAAACACTAAGTAATTCTTTGGTTACTTGTAAAATTTTTTTTAAATAATAAATGTAGTAATAATTTGATACTTATTTTACAAATTATTTTCAAATTTTTAAGCGTGTAATCCCCTTACAGAATGAAATTAGCTTCTTTTTCTTAGCCGGGATATACGAGGTTTGTCCGGAAAGTACGTATAAAAGTTTTTTAAAAATTTTATTTTACAATTATTCAGGTAAATCAATTTTATCCCCTTCAAAGTACTCCCCCTGTGACATAATGCACTTGTGCCAACGCCGTTTCCACTGTGAGAAGGCTCCTTGAAAGTCCTCTGGTTGTAGGTTTCTCAGCTGCCCCGTCGTAGCTTTTTTTATCTCATTTATGTCCCCCAAATGCCGCCCCCGAAGTACCAATTTGGTTTTTGGGAACAAGAAGAAGTCACACGGGGCCAAATCCGGCGAATAGGGGGGGTGTTCGGTCACCGTAATGGAATTTTTACTCAAAAACTCACGGACAACAAGAGAGGTGTGGGCAGGGGCATTGTCGTGGTGAAGAATCCAACGCCCCTCTCGCGCCAATTCTGGACGAACTCGTGCCACACGAGCTTTGAGGCGTCTGAGCACATCGACGTAGAATTTTCCATCAACTGTCTGGCCTGGAGGGACGAATTCTTGATGGCCAATCCCCCGAACATCGAAAAAAACAATCAACATTGTCTCGGCCCTCTCTGAATCTTTTTAGCCACTTGTGGACGGTTGGTTCCTTCACAGCATCATCCCCATAAACTGTTCTGAGATCGGCAAAAATTTCACGGCCATTCTTGCCGAGTTTCGAGAGAAACTTGATTACGACGCGCTGCTCTTCAACGGAAGCGGGCTCCATGCCGACGGGGTTTCGTTAAGAGGTAACTTCACAGATGGCGTGACAAGCCAGTTCGCACCGCACGGCGGTCAGACCAGAACTGAAGCATTGTTAGGGACATAAGGAAGGGGTCCTGCGCTTACCTGGCCTCCCCACTCCTCTTTCTCGCATTCCAGAACACTTTTATACGAACTTTCCGGACAGACCTCGTATATCTGATATATATAAAAAAGTCAGATTTTTTATATTTATTATAAAAATCGGATTTTTTCGAACTCTGGTCAAGATACATTGTGCACGTAAATATATAAAACATTGATATAAAAAAACCAGTCAGCTAATTTGACAGTTACCTGACAAAAAGTTGACCCGTTTCTGAAACTCGATGCCCTATATAATCTAAGGATTTGAGTTACTAACAGCAAAATATCTATATAAACTTTCACTCATTGTAGGCTAGACTTATGATTTGAAATTACTATTCAATCCGAGACTATGATCATGAGATTGTTTTCAAGACAGTATGGGAGCAATATTAAAATGATATAGCTGACATTAATGAGTCACGGTACTTTACCTAGATGACATTTTGAATTTAATTTATAGTCAGGTTAATTTAAAAAAAGAAATTTTAAATTAACAAAAAATTTGGGGATTATGGAATTATGTTGATTATAATTTACTTTCTCGGTCTCGATCTCTCCTCCATGAAGATTTCCGTCTCGGCGATGGGGATCTTGATCTTGACTTCGCCGGTGATGGCTTCTCTGGAGTCTTGCTTTTTGACCTTATATATTAAGAATAAATATCAGTAATCCCATCATAATTATAGATCTGAATATTTTATTTTTTCATGACATGCAAAATTGTATAATTTTCAACATACAAACTATATAAATAAAGCAAATTTTCATATTTGTGTTCATGACAGGCTGTGTGAATTTTATAACTAAAGATACATTGTTCATTACATTGATCATTACAATGATTTATATTATTGTTATACAAAAATAACGAACAAGTTGTGTCCTGCTGAATACAAAACCATATTCATAACTTTATTAATTTTCCATTAACATAACACAAATTTAAAATAAAATTGTATGAAAATATTTATACGTATTACGATTTATCTCCAAATTATTATTTACCTGTATCTTCTACCAGGTGGGGTGGGCTGTTTCTGAAGATCTTTAGGTATAGGACTTGGAGATTTTGACCTTTGTCTAATGCCCCGCGCTATTGCTTCTTCCTTATTTTTTCTGGCTGCATTCTTGGCTTTATAGTACTCATATAAACCAAGTTTTTCCCAACCCTCACTAAAAATGGCAATGAATTATTGTAAATATATTTTATACATACATAATCTAATCTATAAATTTCGAAAACAAAGCAACTTACTTATCTCTGGGACGTTCATGATTAGGCGACGCATAGAATGCATCGACAGCAGCAAGTAGCCTCTCATTAGGGGGAGCCGGTGGCGGCAAACGAATATGTGCAGGATCTAAAGGTTTATACCTGTCATCCTCCAACTGAAATTAAATATTTAATTAGAATCTGATATTTTTCCAAATAAGGGACAAATTAAGAACTTTTTACTCACCATTATAAGAGGCACCATCAAACCAGCTGGTAATTCGAAATACGGTACAGATGGCATCAATTCTTCATTATTTATTTCTGGGAATGGTGGGAAGCCAGGCGGAGGTTTACTAAGATCAGGAAGACCGTTTTGGAATGCTAATATTGCTGAGTCATTTGGTTCGAATCCAGGCGGTGGTTGTGAAAAATTTACATTTGGAAGATTGGATAAGTCTGGCTCCTCTACATTATCATTCTTCTTATTTGTAATCTGATCAAATGTCTGGCTATCATAACTATTCTCATTTCCACTCATACTGTTGTTAGAGGCATAATTGTCTCCACTTTCACTGCCATACAATTGGTTGTTAGAGTTAAAATTTGGCTCAAAACCACCCATTTGTTGGAAACCTTGATCAAAGTTATTATTTTGAAAGGAATTTTGCATATTATTTTGTTGTTGCATATTTTCATTATTTTGTTCCATATTTTGCAATTCAAGAGCACGTTTCTGTATTTCTAATTGCTGAATCTGTTGCATTGTATGAGTGACAAACGCTTGGTGTTGAGATTGATAGCTGGAAAATTGATAACCAATATTAATATGTGACAAAAGTAAATGTGCATAAATACAAAAACATCAGTACATACTTTTCAAAGGTGGTCTTTGTTTGTTGAGTAAGATGAGAAATAGCATTAGAGTGTTGGGCTATCAAATTATTTTGGTAGTCCTGGTAGGAACTGGTGGGGCTCTTCATTTTCTCAATGACAGCAGTTTCGAAATAGTTAGACTTGGACTCCCATAGGCGTAGCAGTTTGTTCAACTTAGCCTCCTGTTCTTCAGTAACAGCTGAAACAGCAAAATTATAAAATAGATGTCGCATGAGCCACACAAAGGTAAGCAGATTACCTGTCTGGCACAAACCACAGGCGATGATCTAAAATTTTTATATTGAAGATGAGAATGCACAAACGAACAATAGAGACCTACATCTCGAGGGCATTATTATAAATATGTTACCTATACTGGCATTGCAAAACATTGGAACCACCACATTTTCCAAATTTTTCTTGAGATCTTCTGCGTTTTTGCGTGCACTGTAATTAGGAATAACAGTATCATAGACACCGAATTGATAATAATAGAAAGAGACACACAATGAGAACATTCAATAGTTAAAAAATCATAATTATTGCAAACTGGAAACATGGTCACTGTTTCTCAGATTACTATATTATGAATCACATTGTAAATTCAATATAGTGATTAATAGAGATATTAATAAGTTTATTGGGTTGAATGTTTATCAATCAAGTTGAATAAAAGTTCCCTGATAGACAATTTCAAACAAGATATGTTATTGTACTTGTCAAATACATATTTTTATATTTTCAAAAAATATGACTTGACATAGTAATATAATACTATAACATTATATATAACAGAAGATAAAGAAATATTTGGTAATTTAACATTAACAATGTTAAGTTTTTAATAATTTTAGTTTGAAAATATACTTTCATCCTTAGAATATTGTTAGGATACAATATTGTTAATATGAAATATATATATTTAATGCATGATTCTAATATAAATAAATATTATAATTATTTCATTATGTGATTAGTTTCAAGTGATAGTGCTAACTATTATAACTTTTTTGCCCCAAACCAATAATAACATGAATAGAAAACAGATCAAACTTAAAGAAATAGGGTATAATACGCCAACTTATGATTATATATATGAAATAACGTCAAAAACATTACATAACTTAAAAAATCTATAAGTTTGACCTATTTATAAAAATAATTAATGGTGTTACATTTCAGTACCAGACAAGATTACATTTAAAAATTGAAATTATTACTAGTAATTAAATACTTAAGAGTAAATATTTTATGAATTATTGATAATAAAATATTTCAATTGGTAAATTAATTGATATCTGTACTGTAATCTGTAACTGATATTTTGAAGATAAATATATACACATGTGTTAGGAGCCGTGCAACAGCAGGCACATTCTCTACTAAAAAAATTGCTTAAGCCTAAAATATTACATGTAGAATACTAACCAATGGTGCAGCACATCATTAACAAGGTAAATGATGTGCAGCTTCTGTGTGAATGCGGCTCCGGGTTGCGTCACCTTTCTAAGAAGATGTTGTGATATCACTTTGCCAGCATCATTGGATGTTGCATGTTGTAATATCCACCCCTTACCTAAAATGTTAAATCTTCCATTTTAATTACATTTTATAATATAGAATCTAATGTTATTCAGTGTCATACGTATATTTAAATTTAATATCATAGCAGAATTAATATTCTAAAGAATAATATAAATTAAATTTATGATAGAATTTAATAATATCTACTTTACTACTTAGTTCTTAGTGGCTGATATGATAATGCTTTTACTAAAGTATCAAAACAAAAATGTCAATTTTAAAGTTTAAAGAATAATCCCTTTATAAAAGAATCTGCAATTAGAATTTAAGAGATTACCTGAAGAAATACTATCTTTAGTGCATGTATCAATGATTGGTTGCAGGATATTGTCCAATTCTGAAAGGCTGATGTTATTCTCTTCAGCCATCATCTGAATGGTCTCCACTTGAGCCTTGCTTACCAGTTCATTGATTTTAGCTTGTTGTTGTTGTATCAACACCTAAAATTATATACATAATATATAACTGAGAGTACATATTGTACTGGTAGTCTTACACTACTTAGAGCAGTGCTAATTTGTAAATTTTACTTATTTATTCCTAAATACAAGTTTGTTTTGCTAATTTTTTAACAAACCACTTGCTAAACTTAACAGTGATAAACATTGCCTGCAAATAAAATATAATTTAATTTATTGTTTAAGGTCACATTATTTATATGTAAATTTAATAAAATATTAATGAGCATGCAAAACAGAGGTTAGGCTAAGTTGAATTGTGAAGTAATCATTAAAGGAAAGTTATAACTCTGTTATAATTTCATATGTTTATATAAATGTCATAATCTAATAATCAGGGGGGAAAGGGATTGTTAGTAATGGAGACTGAGAATCCCATTGCTAGCAATATACCCAACCAGGTCGACCTCCACGCAGTTCCCCCTGGAAACTATCATGGTTAATTGTTGATGAATTTATCATGATGGCCTGTTTTCATTCTCATCTATCACCCTTCACTGGTGCTCCGCTAGCATATCCCGTTAGAGCAGGCAGAGTTACCATACGATTTTCACCCATCAAAAAAAAAAAAATCCAATAAGCAGTCATTCAACAGTAAATTAAAAATAGTTAAAATAAATAAGTATCAACTAACCGTGTGTTGAGCACTTAAATTATTCTCCGACTGACTGATCTGTTCTTTTAACATGTTGATCTGTGCATTGACGTTGTCAACTTCATGTTGAGCGTGCTGCGATGCAGCAGGAGGTGCAGAGTTTGCCGCAAGCCACTGCTGAAGCGCGGGCGCCGCTGCCATCGAAGCCGCCAGGCCGAGCTGAGCGGGCGTCGCGCCGGCCTGTTGGGGCATTACATATTGCCTGTTCTGTGCCATATAAGCCCCGGCGGGAGCAGGTGCCGCCTGGCCACCGGCCGATTGCTTTAGAACTATAAACAGCGGAGGTTCACTTGAAACGGTTATAACAACATGCATCCTGCGATCGGAGGCGACCGCCAATATTCAACATCTGCCATCATCAGTGTATAATGCTTACTTGCTTGTTCAGTCGTCACTTTGTACTGGTAGTAGTTGAAGTATTCCCCGCCATATAAGAAGCTGAATTTTGGATTATTTTTTTGTTTGTTCTTGGTCATTTTCTCAAATTCCGGCCCATTTCTTGCTACAAACTGTGCAAGTTTGTCGATTATGTTGCGTAGATCTTGATCTATAATTAAAAAAGGAATATATAAAACTTCTATTTAAGTAAATGTATTAAATATGTTTCACGTACTTCTCAACAGCGTACCTGGCGGTGGTTGCGGAAGATCCATATTTTTTTACTTTCCAAATTGAGGTTAACCAAGTATCTTCATTCAACTTCGAGGATTTGTTACACTTCTAATCGTCATTCTAAAATAACACACTAGAGCAGTGAAAACTAAAATATTATAAATACACTGAATAACATTTAAATGTAGATACTCATGCAATCATTCATAAGCAGTTTTGTAAAGGAAATAGCTTCGGCCATTTGTAAAATTAAATACCGTAGAGTAATAGTGTTTTGTGACCTATCAAAAAACTAACCAAACTAAAACCAAAGACAACATGTCGCAAAATAGACTCTAAATAGAGATGCCAATGATGTGGCAAATGTCGATATAATTTTGTACCATTGGTACTAAATTGTTTTTATTAGGTATAAAATTACATATTGATATTCGTTGTTTTAAAATTACAATGTATCTAAGTAACTAAAAATAGAATATATTAAATATGAGAAAATTATTCACTACTTCTATTTTGTAAAGTAGAAAGTACACTTAACCAAGATCAGTGCGACTGAATAGATCGATTCCGATGCCTTGTACTAAACAGCAGTTTAAAAAGCTACGAGCTGTAGTATTGATCGTTCAGCCAATGATTTGCCAGCAGTGATTTCCATTCATTGCGGTTATTCGTCGTCCAAGAATTGACGGATTGATCGTAGTGTGTGATTCATTTTTGACAAAAATCAGCCTCGTAAACATTAATATAAAATAAAACCATGTCTTCATTGGTAAGTCGCTTACATCTTACTGTTTCATGTTTTCGTGATAATTATGTATTTATTTTTTTATAACTTTGTGATGTATATAAATTGTAGATTAAAATTAATCAATGAATAGACAAATTCTTTGATCATATGTGGTACCTATTTTTAAAGTAATAAATCACTAAACAACAAAGTTAATTTTTATATACTCTAATATATATCTGAATATATAAATTTTGTATAAATGTTAAAATTGATTATTTTTAAAGCATAATACAATTACTAAAAAATATGTAACAAGTCTTTGTGCTTTAAATCACCAAAATTCACTATTTCTCAAAATAAATTCTAAGTCTACTTAATTATTTAGAGACTACTAAATAATTACTGAAGTTTATTTAAAATTTACACAGCGTATGAAGGCAGCAAAATGTCCATCAGATGAGCTTGCCATCACAAATTGTGCACTCATCAACCCTGATGATTTTCCCAGCGATGTAAAGTAAGTTGATTATCCAACCTATCTAAAATTAAACCAAAGTATATTTACATATATATCATGTCAAAGATGTTATTTAATTTTAGTTATTCATTAATTATTTATTTATTTCATTAGTAAAGATTGTGTAATAATTAATTACTAATATTTTTTATTGTTTACTAGCTTATTGTCCATTACTCATATGTATGGTTTCAGTAGTAGAAAAATCAATGAAGTATACTATTTCTAGATGGTGTATCAAATAAAACATATACCAGATTTTAAGATAATTTTCTGTGAAAACCACATCCAATTTGGTATTTGTGTGATGACAGAACAAACATACAGACAGATAAAATTTCTAAAAAGTATTATTTAGAACTTTGTTAATATCTGTTAGATAAATTTTCCTTAAATATCTCTCATGTATAGAGATTGTCTAGTTATAATATTGTTATAAGAAATAAGATATTGTGAGTTGTTCAGTAGCCATAGAGCAAGCTTTTCTTATTTTATCTTATTAGTTTGGCATTATTTTCTCTGAGTGACATGTTTAAGATATTTTTTTAAGAATAACTTGGCTTATTTTTATAGTCCTCATCTAGTTTCGTGCTTGTATAATTGTTATTACAAGTAGAATTGATTATTTTTTACTTAAATAATAATATATTAACACAGCTACATCATGTATTGTAAAAAATATGTTTATGTTTTTCATTTAATGCCCTATCATGACCATACTTAATTATTTACCTACTTATCTATAGGTAAATAAAACAAGTTACAAATACTTATAGGTAGATTATATTTTGCCATTATTATGCTAAAGAGTATTGTTATATTATACAAATTATATTGGATACTATGTTATATATATTATAGTTAACTTTTAGCTGTATATCCTGACCTGGCATGCCCCTGCTGGAATTTATTTAATTGATACTTACCTATTGTTTTTATTAAATTTATATACTCTATACATTAGAATTTCTGAATTCAAACCTGAGGGGTGGTTTTATATTGGACAAGATTGGACTTGGTATATTAATTTTTCCTATATGTAAAATCAAGATATGTATTAATTTTATAAATCTCTTCTTATACCTATCATCCTTTTTTAATAATATGAAATCACATATTGGAATGACCCTAAGTCTATAGTACACTCTTTTTGGAGAACTCCATACTTAGGAAATATGAAAAAAAAACCTCCTATGTTAAAAAAGTTGTTTAATTAGGTTTGTGCTTATATGAGACTTTAATTTCTAAAAAAGAACTATAATATCTGATTTAATTTTGTAGTTTCTGACAACTTTTATATATGTATCTATATTATGAAACTTTTTAATATTTAAGTTTTAAGAAAACACTTTTTTAATTGTAAATTATGAGTTTATCTTAATTTATTTATCTTTATTTTCTTATCATTGACCATTGCAAAAGAAAAGATTTTGCCATAAAAAATTCCTTTCCTCCAATTGAGTTTTTAAATCCTCTGTCATTATTGTTATTTTTGTGAATATTACATTTGTCTGACAATTGATTTATTATATAGTTAGATTAGAAATTTGTCTTTTATTGACCTCTCAAAAAATCTATATATCCAGTATCCATATTTGCTTCAATATTCCCTACCATAATCTATTTACCTCTCATCTAGGATGCTTGTTTTTCGTGCTAACAATAGATCCTGCCCCTCTGGAAACCAAGGTTAATTCCTGGTGAATGTGTTATGATGGACCAGTTAAATTGGTTTCATCCTTACTAGTATTCTATTGTAAACTAATAATACTGGCAAGATGCATTCCATTTTCACCTAATTAGAAAAAGTATCATTATTCAAATTATATTTCAGACATATCGAAGTATCAACTGGACCATCCCAGCATTTTGTCTTCAGTGTCAGATTTTATACTGGCGTGGACCGCGGTACAGTGGGATTTTCCGCACCACAGAGAAAATGGGCGACACTCTCTATTGGTCAGGTTGGTTAGAATTTTTATTATTATTATTTATATATGTTAGATTTTTTTATGGTTTTGTTTAATGGGTGGATAAATACACATCTCACTGGTGCCCGACTAGCGATAGGTGAGGAGGAAAGTAGGCTAGTTGGCCCATCATGACGAATTCCACAAGAATTAAACATGATAGTTTCCAGGAGGAACTGCGTGGAGGTGGACTTGATAGGGTATATTGCTAGCAGTGGAATTATTATACCTCATTACTAACAATTCCTTTCCCCTCTATGTCAGTTTTTTTTAAATGGATGAGAATGGAAGGATAACCCCGACTACACTATCGGTATATGCTGGCAGGGCACCAGTGAATAATAATAGGTGAGAATGAAACTGGGTCATTTAGCCCATTGTGACGGATCCAACAAGAATTAATCACGATGATTTCCAGGAGGAACTGCGTGGATGTCGACCTGACAGGGTATAATGCTAAAAATAGGGATCAACGTCCCCATCACTAATAATCCCTCTCCCCCTATCATATCAGTTAGAAATTCTTACAATAAATAAAATATCGGTACCTATGTTATATATATGATAATATTATATTATTGATATCTTGTGGCCACATCCGCCTCAATTAGAATAAAATCATTCCGTGTGTAAATCTTCGATATGTTTTACCTGTGTATTCAATTTTGATTCATATCTGTAAACCGATTAAAAACAATTTAGTAATAAAGTTTTAATACGTTTTCACATTTATGTTAGTGAGATAACCAGGCAATAAACAATTAGGTAGGTATTCAATAAATTAAATAATTGAAATTACTTTTTCTTTAATATGGTTATTATTAAAATTATACCATTATGATTAGTTGTTATTTTATAACTGTAACGCTAATACATAATTCTGTTTGAAAATATTAACAATCTTGTACAGTGTTCGCTGATGATGTTCTGATGCTCCTTTCCACTTTAGGTTTGCTGGAGGGGAACTCTTTTACAGTTAAGCTGTGTACATTTGATTACTTCTGCCATATTTTTATGCATAAATTAGTGTGTACAATAAAGTATAATATATATATATATATATATATATATATATATATATATATATATATATATATATATATATATATATAGTCGCCATCTCATTCTATCTTATGGATTCGCTAGTAATAATGATTCTATCAGTAGATTCGTTTGCCACTGCAGCCTGCTTTTTTTAGTTACGAAAACATAACAGACATTAGTGGGTGCTCGGGGGATCCAACTACCACGAGAGATAAATAGTGGGTGTGGAGCACTCATGACGTGATTCATGACATCATAATATGTTTAAAAATAATCTTCATCTCATATTCTATCATTAAGGTCGTGTTTGCTTGTCTAGCAAGCAGTATCCGTCTTTCAGCTGAATGATTGTTGTTGATGATGATGATGATGAAAGTGATGATGTACTTATTTATCAAAAGAACATGAGCATGCACTCCTAATAAATATTAAATTATAAGGGTTCACTTGTATTAAATATGCTTGATATATGTTTTTATTTACAGCCAATAGATGTAAAGATTTTCAAGCCCCAGAATGCAGAATGTTTATGCAGCCTGACCTTAGAAGCAGATTTCCTGCTCAAGAAAACGTAAGTGTGAATATAATCTAATTACTACAAAAGATAATTTATACTGAACATGCTAATATTGGCGTATCGTGACGAATTGATGTGATATTTGTTTCTAAGAACACTTGTGTGTTACATAATTTTATATTTAGTTTTGTCTTTTTGATGATCTATCATAAAATAGCTACTAGGTGATGGTAAAAGTGGAATTGTAAAACTATTTCCTTTCCATATACGTAGTTTGGTATGGACAGAGAGGAGAAGTCCTGTTTCTTTCCTAGCAAAATGTAAATAAGCGTGCGATAGGAATGTTCATAAATCATAGAGTCAATAATAACGTTCCATATATTGACATTTAACTAAATCAATTTTACGTGCTGCATTAGTCTATTAATACTTAAATGTTTTTTTATGCAACTTAGAATGGCAAACAAGCTGACGGCCCATCTGATAGAAAATGGTAACCGTCACCTATAGACATGAAAATTAATATGGACATAACAGAGTATACTGTTTCGCACATGATACCCTCCATGCCTTTCCATTCCTGACGACTCAGGTGTTATTCCTCTGTACCCTATAAATTCACTACCATATCCCATCCTTCAAAACGAAACACAGCCATGCAATCCCAACTGCTTTACGGTAGAAATACGAAAAGCAAATTACTTTTGTACAAAGTCTTCCTCTGGTAAATTATGATCTAGTGTACATTTGTCATATTAGGGTCTGATTTTTGTGGCATGCATATTAATGTTGTCACCTAGAAAAATAAATCTATCGATAAATACGTTTTCGCTACTACAAGCATGAGGTAGAACGAAATAGCAACGTTCAGCATTTTTATTCATGCGTGTGGTAACGAAAACGTATATACCGATATATTTGTTTGCAGTTTTGTATAAGGAAGCTAGTTATATAGGTTCAATCTTTCTATGTATAAAAGGTGTATGTAAACAGCTTCGCTTTAGTCAGTGAAGAAGAAACCTACTTTAAGAAAATTGGGCTTTTCCTTTTTACTGACAGAATTGTTAAGAAATATAAGAAGTAGGTATTTATATGTTTTTATAATGCCATATATTCTTACAGCACATCCTTAGACCCTTATGATACGGAGCAGATGGCTCGGGACTTCCTTATCCAGTTTTCCAGTCAGATATTCTCCGTGGGACAGCAACTCGCATTCGCCTTCCAGGACAAGAAGATTTTGTCATTAATTGTTAAGAACTTGGAAGGTAAATAATTACAATAGGAAGTAATATATTATCTATCTATATATAGTAAAACTGTAGAGGTCGAATGTCTATACATAGAAAAAAAAAAACGCTAAAAATCAGGGGATGTTAGAATTGAAATAGATTTTTTTAAATTTTTTGTTTCTCTGTCTGTCTATTTGTCTGTTTGTATGGGCTAATCTCCGAAAGGTAATGATAATTACCATTAAAAATTAATTAATCTGAGATAGTGCACGTAGGTTTCATATAATACAAAATGTAGTCGACTTGCTAAATATACTAGTATTTAGACCAAAGGCGACAAAATCCAGGCGCCTACTCCCACACACGACAGCGACTTTGATGGCGACTCTCTGGCGAATTACCTTTCCAGCGTATATACAAAATGTTTGCATATATGTACTGCGAAGCTACTGTATGAATATTTGCTTCTTTCACGTGTTCTATTGTTTCTAGCTGTGGACGTACAAGCATTAGCTGCGGGCGCGAAAGCGGTCCCACGTCGCACGAGGATGGGTCGCCTACTCCCCGACGCCTGCATACAATTCGACAAGGCGGAGAATTCTTCACTCAACTTAGTCGGCAAAGCAAAGGGGTGAGATAGTGTTATGTTGTATATTATATTACAGTAGCTTTTGTCCGATTCTTCTTATTTAATATATATATATATATATATATATATATATCATTATTACGCCAAGAGGTAACAAACAAACTCACTTTCTCACGTTTTAGTATTATTGAGTTATTGAATAGAATGACTTAAAAATTGATACCATAAAAATATTATGTAAAAAAAAAAATTGTTGACTAGATATATTTCTTTGAAACAGTTGTTGAATTTCGTCTAAATATAAAAGTACTATTAGAGAGTTTTAGATTTTTTCCCGATTGACATTGTCTAAAATCTCACCAGTAATTAGAAAAAATAATTATTTAATCGATTACTCTAATACAGTGTTTTTCAATCTTTTTCATGACACGACTCCCCTAGTTTGAAAAAATATATCGTGACCCCCAACTTATTATTATTATTTTTAATTTGTATTGACATACAAATGTTTTAATTATCATTATTCTCGACCCACACGTTGAAAAACACTGCTCTAATATATTCATAAATTAAAAGAGATTCGACATGTTATGCAGAAAACAACCTCGCCAGTCTATCATTAATCCCGATTGGGATTTCGGCAAAATGGGAATCGGCGGTTTGGACAAAGAGTTCAATGCGATCTTCAGGCGAGCTTTCGCTTCTCGTGTCTTCCCACCGGAAGTTGTTGAACAATTAGGTAAATAAAGTTTTTTTTTTTTTATTGAATAGACATTAGGGTTGCCTGTTTTGTACTAAGATGGTCTGGGCATTCAAATTAACTATTTATTTATGTACAAAATTTGTTGTCATTATGGGATGGCATTCTAACTTTGCTTTGTATAGAAATCTTTCTGCATCTGTTTTATTCTTAATGTTTGTATTATAATTTAAAAAAATATTTAAACTGTTATTTAATAATCAAAATGAAACATTTCAGGATGCAAACACGTTAAAGGTATTTTACTATACGGCCCGCCCGGTACGGGTAAGACTTTAATGGCCAGACAGATTGGAAATATGTTGAATGCACGCGAGCCGAAAATCGTTAACGGCCCACAAATATTGGACAAATATGTAGGCGAGAGTGAAGCCAACATCCGAAGATTATTCGCGGACGCCGAAGAGGAAGAAAAGAGAGTAAGTATTTATCCAAAATGTTTGTTGATACATTTGTGGAACGTGTTTTAATTATTAATTTAATTGCAGTGCGGACCAAATAGCGGCCTACACATAATTATATTTGATGAAATCGACGCCATTTGCAAGGCTAGAGGATCGGTTGGAGGGAACACCGGTGTTCACGATACTGTTGTAAACCAGTTGCTTTCAAAGATTGATGGTAATATTGAAATACTTATTATTTTTAAATATATTTAAGCACCATTTATAAATTTTTTGATTGAAAACTCGGGTGGTTTAAAAGTCGGCTTTAATTTTACATGCAAATGTAAATTGAAAGACTGAAATGATTTCACATACAACAAGGCGTTCTCCAATTTCTTCACTTCACCTTTCGATGGTTGCGGATTTGATCCCCGTATGATAAAATATTTATGTTTATTTACAATAATAAATCTTGTGAGGACTGTATTTAAAGTAGAGATAAAAAAAAAAACAAAATTGCCGCAAAACAGAAAACAAGAACGATTCAACAAGAAACAGGCAATGAAATATTTATATATGTATTTATAAAAATGTCGGAAAGTTTTTCTGATAGTATGCTTTCATAGGTGTGGACCAGCTGAATAATATTCTCGTCATCGGCATGACGAACCGTCGCGATATGATTGACGAGGCCTTGATGCGACCTGGCCGTCTAGAAGTGCAGATGGAGATCGGCCTGCCAGACGAGAAGGGGCGCGTTCAGATATTGAATATTCACACTAAACGTATGCGCGAATATAAAAAAATTGCTGATGACGTAGATCCTAAGGTAAAGTTATTTTGTAATATTTAATAATATGGTAAGGATAGAGGGCGCCACTCTCCTATACATGTTTCTGACATAATGTAGGTATTTATTTGGTAGATACATCTTAGTCTTCGGGGATGGCAATCATTATCACGGTCGTTACAGTATATTCTGTGGTGTCCATAAGGCTGTTTGTATCTATAGGCGACAGTTTTCACTTTTTATCACGTGGGCTACAGCTTTTTAAGCATTCTCAATTGCATACTAAAACTATATAACCTATGTATGCGCCTTCTAAAATGTGGTTATAATTTGTATTTTTGTTATAATTTGTTATTTTTTTATCTTCACAATAAAATATCGTGCAAAGATTATTATTCATTATTATTCTTCAGGAATTGGCAGCTTTAACGAAAAACTTCTCTGGTGCCGAGTTGGAAGGTCTGGTGAGGGCCGCACAGTCCACTGCTATGAACAGGTTGATCAAAGCGTCAAGCAAGGTGGAAGTAGACCCTGAGGCCATGGAGAAGCTCATGGTTGAACGTGGTGACTTTTTACATGCACTTGAAAATGATATTAAACCTGTAAGTGAACTCTAGGATACATCAATGGTTTTATCTAATTAAAAGGAAATTTAGGATTTTGGTTACATTTTTTTAAATTAATAATAAATAATTATAGTAACTCCGCCTACGTTATCGGTATACACTGGCGGGGCACTAGTGAGGGATGATAAGTGGGAAAAAAGCAGGTCAATCAGCAAATTTAACAATAAATCAATCACGATGGTTTTCAGGGGGAATCGCGCGATGATGGACCTGATAGGGTATATTTCTATCAATGGGCTTACTAATCCCCACTACTAAGAATACCTTCTCCCCCACTTTAGGTAGGTTAGGTAAAAGAATGTTCATGGGAAAAATTTTTGGGTTCATGAATGCTTCATTGAATTGCCTTGCCTTTAACTCTACAGGGTGAAATCAAAATTATTGGCATCAGTTTGAGGTATGTATCAGTATACCTCAAACTGGAGAGGTATTATTCTAACAGAGGAACTGATTACTGTATTATTTTTTTCTGAGAAACATAGATTAATAAACGGTAAAAATGTTGACCCTTCCATACAAGCCTGGCGCGTCCAACTTTGTGTATGGTAGGCTCAATATTTATTGACGTTTTTGAATTTTCGATTCATGCAATTTTTGTCCAAATATAGTTTATGACATGGCTTAGTTTTACCTACAGCTAACAACTTCAATTTTATATTTAATTGGGGTTTGTTTACTTAAAATTGTATTGTATATGTATGCAATAGACAGAAAAAAAAAATAATGACATTTGTAATATTAATCTGTAATTGTACAGGCTTTCGGTACAGCGGCTGAAGCATTGGAACACTTCTTGGCACGTGGCATTATAAATTGGGGTAGTCCAGTTGCATCCATTTTGGAAGACGGTCAACTTTACACACAGCAAGCGCGAGCTACGGAAGCCAGTGGTAAATTAATAAAAATTAATTTAATAAATAATTTCATAAAATCCATTCTATAATTCTGAAAATTCTAATTTTTCGTAACAGTTGGGTGTATAAATATTCTGTCATATCCATGGTGTTCATGTCTATAGGCGATGGTTACCACTTTCCGTTAGATAGGTCGTCAGCTTGTTTGCTATTTCAAATGACATATCTACAATTAGTTTAGGAAAATAATATTATTGCATGGGAAATGGATCCTAAACAATCGAGAGGTGAGACGATTATCCGACCAAAGTTTTCTATCGGAGATAGTAACAGTTCATAAGGGTACACTAGACTGACGGAGTGAAGCAGTCAGCAGTAAATCTGTCATTAATCACTGTTTATACCCACTGTCTTGAAAACATATGTACATTGTACATAAGATACTGAAGACCATGTAGATTTGATTGTATTGCCTAGTCTTGTTTTATATTTAATTGAATTTCGTAATAAAGAGTATGTAATTATAAATTTAATTAATTATATTATGACATTTATATGCATGTAATCTGCAATAAAATGTAGTGTACGCCTGCTATAGGTATGCATATCAGCATGCTACACAAAAATGTTATTTAATTTATATATAATATGAATACTGTTGGTGTGCCTAATTCGAAATAAATAAATACATTGCGGTAAAATAAGGCAGGATGTCTCTCGCTCTGTTGTCGGCATGGTCAGTACATATGACATTATTGTATGGGTCCGGCCTAACCACAACTATAGTCTCCATTTCTAGTAAAAACAACTTGAAACCGTTTTTAATATTGATGACCATTATACCAATTTCAACTGCATGCTAAAGTAATTAAAGTCGATTTTCGAAATGTTAACGAAATAGTCTCTTCGCGGCCACCTCCATCAGTATAAGCTGACATCGAAAGTGCAAAACTATATTTCAAGCAAGTAAAAATATTATTTTGAAGGCCTAGTATCGGTGTTGTTGGAGGGGCCACCCAACAGCGGTAAGACTGCGATGGCGGCACAACTGGCCAAACTATCCGACTTCCCGTTCGTAAAGGTGTGCTCACCAGAGGACATGATCGGCTTCACAGAATCCGCCAAGTGTTTGCAGATCAGAAAGGTATTTATTTATTTATATGATTTTTGTGTCTATATTATAAAGTCAACAGAAATTCAAGACGACTATTCGATTGTATATAGCCTTTGTTCTATACTTGTAAAATAAAATATACAAAGAATAAACAAGTATTAAATGTAAGAGTTTGTAAGACTAAGGAAGTGCGAGAGATGGGCAGCGCCCTTTTAAAACATTTCCAAAGCCTAACTGTGGTTGCCAACCCGCCTGCCAAGCGTGGCAACTACTGGCAAACTCCCCCACGGGGGAGGCTTATGTTCAGCAGTAATGATATAGCAATCTTCATTATATTGTAAACTTCTTTCATAGTAGGCATCTACCTTAATTATCAGAGGTGTCACAGGCGACAATATCATTAAATAAAAACGGATTTATTATATACAATTCAGTGATAGATATTATGTCATAATCACTAATGTCTATAGACTGTGAGTGATAATAAAAATAATTGTATGTTTTGTGCTCATCAGTATTTCGACGACGCGTATCGTTCAAGCCTGTCCTGTATACTAGTGGACAATATCGAGCGTCTACTCGACTACGGACCTATTGGGCCGCGGTACTCCAACCTCACGCTACAAGCGCTGCTCGTGTTGCTTAAGAAACAGCCGCCGAAGGGCAGGAAATTGCTCATATTGTGCACCAGCAGTCGGAGGTAGGTTTTATTTATATTATCTACATTTTGTTTCATTATAGACGTAGCACTCTCATAGCCAGTGTGAGGGTCGCGCTGGTAACAATGTTAAACTTCGGATATAAATAGTATAGCGAAGGAGAACTTGTTCACTCATGCATATTTTCAGTAATTATTCATTTCAGTATGTACATTCAGTAAATTTGCATGTCATTTGATGTGGCGAAACATAATGGACATTTTGTAAATTTCACAAATGCAACATCTTATCTACAATGTTTCTGGAAAATAAATTTCATTTCATTTCAATAAATAATGAATACAAACGAAATAGGCACGAATAATATTTTAATTACGAGTAAACATATCACTCGCTTTAATGCGCTTTTGCAGTTGTTGTGGAACCTTTGGATATAAAATCCTTTTTTGTGTTTAACATTTTTATCTGGCTATACATTTAAAAATTTTAAATTTGAAAAAAATTGTTGTTTAATGGATGAAAATGGATGAACTTCCCACCTGCGCTATTGGTATTGGCGTCAGTAAACTGGTAAGATACTGGTACCAGTCGAGGACGATAGGTGAGGATGAAGTAAGGTCAATTACCCCATCAGGGAATAATCACGATGAAAAGGATATATTGTTAGCAATACTTCACAATTGGCCGTGTGGTCCCAGTATAGAACAGGCAGCCGCTTTGTTTCCCATGGGTGTCGTAAGAGGCGGCTAAGGGAAGTCGAGGGATGGGCAGCAGCGTCCCTCTTAAAGCATCTCCAAAGCCTATCTGCTGTTGCCAATCCGCTTGCCAAGCGTTGCAGTTACTGGCAACACTTCCTAAAGGGGAGGCTTATGTTCAGCAGTGGACAGTTAAAGGCTGATATGACTATGAATAACTCCACAATTGATAAGTCTCCCTCCGGTAAAGACCCTTTCTCAGATATGGTATAAAGTTATTTTGTCGCGTGGCAGGCAAGTGTTAGAAGACATGGAGGTACTGTCTGCGTTCACGGGCATTCTCCACGTGCCGAACCTGTCGCAGCCGGAACACGTGCTAGCAGTGCTCGAAGAGAGCGACGCCTTCTCGAAGCGGGACCTCGCCAAGATACAGAACGAGCTGCGCGGTGCCAAGTAAGTATCCGCACACACCGTCATATCTAGGGGGGCGCCAGCGGGATAATTTAGTTCACTTCGATATATCATGGTCATTTAACTATTAACTAATAAAGAGGGGAGATTTTAATTTTTGTTTGTAATAGATAAACCAATAAACACATTAACTCTATTGTTAAAACTAAACATTACAATAAAATCCATATAAAGAACGCTATTTACACGAGCATAAGCTTTATGCTAATTTTGCTGATATTGTTTACTACTGTGCTAGTAACGACAAAATATGTAAAATTTATAACATTAATTATTTTTTATCACAGGATTTTCATAGGAATCAAAAAGCTCCTGGCTCTAGTCGACATGGTGAAACAAACGGATGAAGAATACCGAGTATTCAAATTCCTAACGAAAATGCAAGAAGAGGGCGGCTTAGATCTCGGAACTACTATACAATAAGAATCATTGCAACCTTAGGGATTACACGAGCATACCACACTTACGCCCTCACCGGATCATTCTAATGCACATATCTACTCATCCAAAAATCACGTCACCAAAATAAAGGAATCCTCTCCATGCGCGTCTGATTTAAGGAGCTATGAAATCGATTACGATGATATCAGTGAATGCACAGAGTCGTTGATAGATACGAGCCATCACAAAAAAGGTTTAACATCTAAAGGCAACGAAATACCTCCATCCAAAATGCCTCTAATGAGAATTCGCAGTGTCGAAATAGTATTTGAAGATGAAATGTCCGCATGTACGGACACAGCACTCTTAGACAGAAGCATGGAACTGATTGTGTCTGATAGCGACGATTCTACCAAATGCGTGGACGATTTGGAACATATACAAGTTGAGAGAGAGGATAATGATGATTCTGTCACTATTAATGCGGAAGCCGACTTATCGGAAGATAATTCAGTTTCGCTAACTGTAGATAATGTAATTGTAGAAGCACCCAAGCAAGATGTCCCACATATAACATTACAAGACATCGATAATTTGCACGCACAGAGCAGTAGTATACTGTCGGCTAACGAGGATAATACTGTATCTCTAAATTTATCTGATATCGGTGACTCTGGACGCTTCACTGAGGACGCTAGTTCCTCTAAGGAAACTGCTCCCACATTGGTGTATGGAGACGCAGTGCTATCCGAATCGTTTGATGTTATAGATAAAGGGACTACAACGTGTTCGTTTGAGTTATCAGACTACAGTTTAAGTAATGGTAATAAATCATTGTTGTACGAATACATTGACAGTAACAGTGACAGTTCAGACAACACGGCCGTATGCGATGATGAATACACTCCAACGAAACATGCAACACCCTTCCATAATAATATTATGGTTTCTGTCGAAGAATCCGATGTTTGTGACAGTACAGATTTACAGTACGATTCTTTTATAGATATGGGAAAATTTTGATCTTCATGAATGAAATACGCGCAGTAAAATATTTTTACGCTTGTCTGTGGATATTTAAAGTATTGTATGAATCCATGTTTCGAACAAATGTTAAAGGAGTTTGTGAAAAAAAAAAGTATAGAAGATGATGCGTTGAGATCTTGTAAGATGCGACATTCCGCAATTCAATATTTTGCCACGCTAAGATTGACTTTGTTTATCTATCTATAAATTTTTGTGGCAAATTCACGATATATCCTTCTCTATAAACGTTCAACTTGTTAAATTATTGAATTCAGAAGAATTATTTCAAATAGCTGAGCCAAATATAAAAAAAAAAAACTACTTCCCTTGTCATTATAAAAAATACAGATATATTTAAATTTAATGAAAAATACAATTTGAATGATAGTTCATACAAGTACCTTCAGTTCAAAAATAAAACTACTATGATTTTACAAATATAATGAAAACAAATATGCAATAATAATTTAATTTTTTTAACGTTATGAGAAATTGGCATTTCACTAATGAACTTATGTTTTTATTAAGCAATAAGCAACTCCATGGTTATATGTCATATATACCTAAGTACCTTTCAGTGTGAGCTATTCTGACACCTTATATACCTTAACAATTAACACAGCTTTTTGCACAGAGGGAGCTTGGTGGTATGCGGCTCTTGTAACCATGTCATGTCCCTTTGTAATTGGACCGTTATTTTTAGTGGAGCTTATGTAAAATAATTTATGTAAATAACATAAATCTTTCCTTCCAATAGTTGAAACTTTGATGTCTGAATAACTTTGTGAACAATGACATGGTTACAGATATCCCAGGGTTGTAAGTCTAGGCAATAGCTCAATTTGACAATGTATTATATTTTTATAGAGATTTTTTTTATTTATTTGTTATTAAAATGTGATGCAGCTTGATGCTGTCTTATTGCGTTGAATACTTATTAGGAATATTTTGATTATTGTGTAATAATACTAATACAAATAGCTATTTAAGGGAATGATATTGTCAATATATTTATAATAGTATAAAAACTACGCAAGAATATTGTTGTTATATAGAAGTAGGGCAACGAAGCTTTCACGTGAAGTGTTGAAATTTTGCCTCAAGTACATTATTAATGTTAAATGCTTGAGTGATATTATATTGCACATCTAGTAATCAACACAGTCAATTTAATTGGGCACTGTTGGGGAGGGTATGTTTTAGTAGATGAGTGGGTAAGATTGTACGGACGGTTAAGTAATAGATTCTTGAAAATTTAATAATATATGAAGACATTATATAAAATTCTTATAGTGTTTAAACTGTTTAACATAGCCTCGATGTGCAAACTCTATCTTTATATTTGGAGATTTACTTCATATTTGCTATTCATGTATATTGTTTATAAAAAATTACTTTTATTGTAGTATAAATACAATTGTTGCTACCAGTAGGTATATATTGTTACCTCATTGTTTGTTTACATTTGTTGACAAGACTTGATATTTTGTATTGCGACATTCCATCTTCACACACATTCATAATATGATCTAATACTTTTAGATGAATATAACAAGAGTTGATAAAATAAAAATCTTTCTTGTACTTATCAAATATTATAAGCTTTTAGAACATGTTCTAGATCTGTAGCGCTTGAATGTTACATTTACTATACAAATTGTATGTTGAATTATGTCTGTGGTTGAATTATAAGACAGCTGGACGACAGGTTCAATTATTAAACATAGCCACGTGTATGTATCCATGAATTGTAATAACAAAAATTAATATTAAGATTAACAGTGATCAATTATATATTTTAAAGCTTCTAACTTTGTCAGTGGCTATGTTAAAACTATGTAGGTCTGAATTTGTTGGAAAATAAAAGTATTTTACTGAAGTTGGTTATTTATTTATTGTCATATCTTACAGCTCTTATTCATTATTGTTTTGTAATTATTGTTAGGTACTTTCCAATTAGTCATCATCATATCAGACATTAACTGACATGAACTCCCCCACAAAGGGCATTTTGTCATAAGTTGACACTCTTGGCAGGCTTGACAAGTGCAGCTAAGATTTGATGATGTTTTAAGAGGGATTCCTGCGCCCATTCAGTTCCCTTAGTCGCCTCTAACGACACCCACGGGAAAGAAAGAGATAGTCCATTCTATGCTGAGACCACATGACGATTATTAGTTATATAAGTGATTAATAGCAAGAATATGAGGGGAAAGGGATTGTTAGCAATGGAGTTCGACATTGCTAGCAATAGTCGACCTCCACGTGGTTCCCCCTGGAAACCATCGTGAACAATTCTTGTTGAATTCGTCACGATGGGCTAACTGACCTGCTTTATCCTTACCTATCATCCTTCACTGGTGCCCCGCCGGTGTACACCGATAGCGCGGGTGGGGTTACCATTCCATTATCACCCATTAAAAAAATAGCAAGAATATAGAAATCCAGTGAATTACGAAATTGCATAATTTTCAGCTAATTTAGCCTTGTTATTGTTTATACAATTCTTACTGAACAATTTATACTTGCAACGCGGGGTTTAGAAGGTTCTTGAAACCTAGATGTGTTTTTATGTGCCGAATATATTACGGGCGTTACAGTGTAATCTGTGATAAAGTACGTGGGCCGTCACAAATCAGATTTTTAGCTTCATTATTACTCCGTAAGCTCCGTAGAACCAATACAGGTGCGTATATAATTGTGGATTCTATTACTGCTCGAGTTGCTTTGGAAAAGGGGTTACCTTCCAGAAAAAGGCGGAACAGTTTAAAAAGGAGCACTAGAAAAAATACTTAAAAAAGAAAGATGAAAACATTTCTTAATCTCGAGTTGATAAAGATTTATTACCGTTTTCTTATTACTTACCCCTCCTTCATTGAGCATTTTTTTTAATTTACAATAATAGTATTAAATAAGTATGGTTTCGTTGGTTGCCAATGTCAGTGGCATGTCTACTCCTTGTTCTTAGCTATAAGCAGTTAAAATTTTGAGCCCTCATAGACGCATCTCCAGAGTTTCTTTTAAACTTATTCCTCGTTTCATTGAAAGAGGTGATATAGGTAAGGTTAGTAAGTAAAAATAACTACATACAGTCACCACATATTTTATTACTTCTTTTTATATTTGTTTATAATCAAGTATTATTTATATTTTTTTTATTTGTATTCTAATATAAATTAAAAAATAATAGAAACTTAGTAATTAATCAGTATGAAGTTTTTGAAGATATGCTAATATAATAGGCTAAATCCTATAGTCAATTGAAAACTAAGCTATCTCTACCAAATTTTATCAAAATCTGTATATCAAATATAGCAGTAGTTAAAACTTGATAGCCTAGACAGTCATTCATAGTAATATTAGAATAATAATATACTTACAAGTTCAAATTTTTTTTTAATTTACAGTCCTTTAACAAAAAATAATAAAGTACATTTGCAATACCTGTAATACTTGGTTACTGGCTTCACCCTGTCAAAATACTTGAAGGTGACCACTCTGTGTATTGTATTTGTGATGGTATAATTTTAGTAGGGTATCTTGTCACATTTGATAATTTCAGAAGTAACTACCTTCACAAGACAAATGATTTTTAAATGATAATGTATAAAATTCTTCCTGTTCTGAGCACATAGTTTACCCAATTTTATATTACTATATTAAAATGTACATTCAAAGAAATCTAACAATACAAATACAATTTGTTGACTCAATTATTTATAATTAAAAAATAATTACAATGCATCAAAAACAAATTGCATATTATATGTATTGAAGCTGAAATATAAAATAGCCTAATTAGCGCTTTCACAGGCGTCAACCCAGTCATTATAGACATCTATTGGTTCAGACAGCACATTTGTTGTTGTTTGGAAATCTTCTAAACACACTCGACATTGTATTCTTGCAGTATTTCTGGCTCGATCCCTATAAGCAGGCAATATTAACATTAAATTTCAAGGAAAAATTAACAGTATTAATTAGTATTATTTACCTATCTAATGTTTTGTACGATACTAACAATACCTAATGAAATGATGCAATTCATAAGGACTTCAATGATAGACTTTGCAATTTGCTTAATCAATATTTATAATAAACAATTGAGTTATATATAAGAAATATTGATGTACTGACTTAATGTTTTATAAATAAACATATATAATTCTTAAAAAGATGATTTCTGTTGTTTTCTTGAACAGCCCATATGTAATGAAAATCAATTGACTATGATCGAATACTAATCATATATAGATCCTTTATAATTATATATCATCCTTTGAAATAAATTTGGTATCAAATTTTGATGCAAATCATTATCATCATATAACCCTGTAATTGTCCACAGCTGCACATATAAGCTTCCCCCTAGAGGGGGGTTTTCCAGTAGTTGTCACGCTTGGCAGGCGGATAATCAACCGCAGTTTAGCTTTCGCCCTTCCTTAGTCGCCTCTTACGAGACTCACAGAAAAGGAAAAGATTGCCTTTTCTATGCCGGGACTACACGGCGACATTTGATGCAAATAATTTGTATTAATTATGAACACAATTTGGAGATGGATATTTTATTTCAATTCATAGATTCAAACTTACATTTTCACTTCACAAGATTTTTCATGATTGCAAAATGGGCAGTTAAACTGCTGATCTAACGGCTCAATCGCTTTTCGCTTTGCTGGAGGCTTCCTTTTAGATTTTCGGCGCCCCATAATGAGCTGGAAAAAAGCGGCACGTTGTTTAAAGAAAATTTAGACACTAAATGGTGTATTTTTTAGTGAACTTCGGAAAACATTACAATTATATATTACAAATCGAATTATTTAAATATGAAATAAAGATGCATACTTATTTAGTAAATTTATCTTATTTTATATTTATACAAATATTAATTAACATGAACAGAAAGAAACGCGTGTAATTATAGCCTGAAAGGTGACGTCTTCTAAACTGAACTGACCAGTAGAACTACACAAAACAAAAACAAATGTAGGTAGAACTACTACTCTACTCTACGGTTTTGTCTAAGCCCAACAGTCAGAGTGACAGCCAGATTGCATCATAGATAATACAATAGATTTTTTTAATATCTCAGTTTTAGTACAGAAGCCATCAGTCTATAAATTTATGTGTAATTAAATATTTATAATGCAACCATTGCATGCAAAATATTTATAAGGTCAGTTGGCCCAACGTGATGAATACACTTTCTAAAGCACGATGATTTCTATGGGGAACCACGTGGAGGTCGACCTGATAGGGTATATTGCTAGCAATAGGACTGATAGTTCGTATTACTAACAAACAAGGGAAAGCAGTTGGCTGACTTTATGGAGAAGGCAGAAATCTTTATGATGAACTTCTTCTTCCAAAAACGGCCATACAGAAAATGGTTTTGGGCTAGCCCCGACGGATACACAAAAAATGAAAGAGACTTCATCATGACGACTAATCACCATTTGTTCAATGATGTCTCAGTGATCAACAGGTTTAAAACCGGAAGTGATCACCGAATAGTAAGAGGCACATTGAACCTAAATGTTAGGCTAGAAAGGTTTCGTTTGATGAAGTATACGCTCCGATCTTCTTATAAACATCAACTTACTACTAATTTGTCTTCAAATTTTTAAGAATTTTGGATACTACCCAGCCGAGTTGAAATTGTCGATTGACCTCTCAGGCGAAGTTAGACCTGCTTAGTCGACTAAATTGTTCAGGTATACATGCTTGGCGACAGCTTCGTGCAGTGTTCTCAATCATAATCTATATAGATGTGACATGGACGTTATAATACGTTTGTAAACATGATTTTAGTTTTGTCCATGTTCATCTTTAAGAAGGACTATTGAGCCCTAAGTCTATTTGCTTGCTATTATATAAAAATCATAATTCATATTTCATTTTAAATAGCAAATAGTAGCGAGTACAACAATAAGTCATTACGAGTAAAAAATATTATAATTTGCACAGAAGATATAGCTGTGAAAAAATAAGAATAGTAACACATGTATAACAAACGTAGCATTAATATGTCTAACATGCTGTTATTAAACGCATAAATTTCTCTAATCTGTGGTCAAATGTCAATTCAAAGTATTTTCGTTTACGGCTTTTATTTATTCGAATTTTAATGTTTTTTTTAGAAATCTATTAACAATGTTTCGAAATTTATTAATATTGACTATTATAACATTATTAACTTTAGAAGGTAATTAAATGTTTAGATACCTGATTTTTTAGTTAGATTTCGTGATTGAGGTAACGCCCAATATTTTTCTTGTTGCAGTTGCGTTTGTTTCTGCTGAATGCACAATTCCTGTAGTTTTACGAAATACATGGTTTTCCTTTGAAAATGGAAAGCAAACTATTACCGATATAAATGCCAGCGACATGACGGGAAGGTATATTAAAATGAATTTTATAAGATCTGTTTAGCTTTCATGATTCAAGGAGTGACCGGTTGCCATTGCCATGCTCATGTAGTACAATAATTTATTCGCATAATCTGAATTTACTTTATTATTTTTAAATTATTAAGATTGAAATAAATATCCAATAAGCTAATGACTCACCTGATTGAAAGTCATACAATCACATATAGACATGAACAGCATAGAATACATTGTAATGTCCATGGTACCCCTCATGCATCATTCATTTTTGAGTATTTTATACCTTTGCATTTTATTATACAGCAAATTGTATTCTATAGCTTTGCCCATATGAATTAAAGGTGTTTATGTTAAGGTATTAAAAGTGTTTATGTTAATAACACTATTACTATAAACACAAACATTAAAACAAAAGCTCTCTTGGAGTGTATTCATTATAGTTGAAAAACAAACTCACCAAATAAATAAATTTTTACAATGTTTTGGGGTTTATGAGTGACTAATTTAGTGATAATAAAAGTGCACCCATAGATAAATAACTATATAAATGTATACATTATTGTGATTGATTCTATCATCTATATATATTTTAATAAGTGAAAATAGAATGGCTATGACTGCACTATTGATGTATGCTGGAGGGGCACCAGTAACTTATTATAGGTCCTAACCTATATATGAGGGGGAAGGGATTGTTAGTAATAAGGTCAAATAGCCCCATTACTAGCAATATACGTTGTTAGATCTACCTCCATGTGGTTTCCCCTAGAAACCATCGTGGCTAATTTTACTTGAATTCGTCGGGATGGGCTAACTGACCTGCTTTCATCCTCATCAGCCGTCCATCACTGGTACCCTTCTAGATACCCTGCCTGCTGATAGTGCAGACAGGTTTATCATACCATTATCACCCATTAAAAAAAATCTATATATGAAGACAGGTTATTTAGCTTATGGTACATTACTAACAAAGGGGGTTTTAGACCCCTTTACTAACAATTCTTTTTTACTTTTTACTATATATTTAATAAAGTGATAAGTCATTTTAACATACAAATTGGCCACTAATAATTTAATTTAATACTATATTTTTTTTAGGGGAACTTGTGTGAATATAAAGGCAGATTACCATGTTAATTATACAATGGTATTTCGTTATACAAATTGCTATTATTGTGTTAAACTGATAGTACGGACAGTTAATGTGCTGGAGAAGATAGAAACACCATGCGTTGGTATTGGTACAAATGAAGAACCAACTGTTGAAAGGGTTTGCCGTGGACTGAATCCAAACCAGCATCTTATTACATTGTTTTCTGAAAATTATGTCCCTGTAAGTTGTTACAATTTTGTAAAATTATTTTATTTTAATATGCCTTTTGTAAATGTTTTTCTTGCAATTTTTTTATTCTTTATAACAATACAGGAAGTATTGTTATTTTATTACTCTTTTTTGCCCTCATAATCTTGTGCTGTATAATGCTGATAATAATAAATAAATGAAGTATTAGTGCATGGGAAATAAAATTTAATATAAGTACTTAGTAATATTTTTCTCTTATAGAAACAGACTCATGCCTAGTAAAAGATTAATTGATTGTTATGATGATAACAATGTTTTATTTTTCTAAGAAGATATAAGAATTAGGAAATAGGAATCAATCAAATAAAATATGCTTTTAAATGTTACACATAGGTAATTTAAGTAAATGTAAATTAATAAGTATTTTAAATTTCAGGTTAATTGCCGCTCATCCCTAGAAGGTGTATGGCAGTTTGCATATCAGAATCGTTTCCGTTTCACTGGTGAATGTAATCATCCTGATGCTCAAATCAAATCTTGCCAGACAGCAGGCACACAGTTTCTGATCACCAACCAGAAGTTCAATATTACATACAGGAAGTGTGAAGGCATGTCAGGGACATTCAATGGTGTGGTTGAATACAGTTGTTTAGGTAAGAAAATGTAATGTAACACTGGCAAATTGGTGGCTCAATGGGTATACCAATCACAAAAATTTAATACATGCAAATAACATATATCCACATTCAATATATTTCCATCTATAGATTTTGAATTTAGTATAAATATATAGTTTATTTTTTTGTGCCACTGGTGTTGAGTGGTTTTCTATTACTCTGCAATTCATTCAAGGTCATGAAGTGAAGGTCATAATCTATACAATAAAATTGCGATTAATCCACCATCAATCTAATTCTTATTTCCACACATTTCTTCATATATTTATAATGGAAAAGGGTTGTATAAAACACTCACCTCTAAACTGGAAATTAAAAAGAATATAACACGATTTCTCCACAGTCACACTTAAAAACAACAAGATTCTGTTTAACTACTAAATGAAACCTAGATCTATCTTTTGCTAAACATCATGTGTAGTTTTATAGAAAGATACTGGTATATACATATTAAACAGCCTAGAGAATTTTCCACATGGAATTTGACCTTATAAACAATGAGACAAAAGTTATAATGTCCACGCGATCCTGATTTTACATTATCTCGTAATATCTTGAAGCTTTTTATCTCCATTTAATCCCTGTGCATATGAAATAAATTATGATGTTATGGACTTAAATTTTGTGTCAATTTAATCTTCCCTAAGGATCTGTTTACTATGATCATGATTGTGAAATACGAGTAAAATCTTTTATTATCCATATTAGATAAAGTATAATTTTAATAGATACATGTAGTTAGTACTTATAATACTAAGTTTTTTTTTCATTTCAGGACATTGGTTTGTAGATAAAAATCACTTCTTCGCTGTTGCAAACACAAAAGAGTCCCGTAAAGATGAGAGATATCGATGCTTTCTTAAGAACAGAGATGATGACTTGTATATCGGTGCTTCTATCACCCCTGAGTGTAACACACTAAAGACTGTTGAAAAATCTCCTGAGAGATATAGAGTTACTCCCGTGAAGGCTGAAGTTGTGGAGCCAGGGTGTCGTTTACCACAAAATTTCTCAGGCGATTGGATCAACACCGCTAATATTGATGCAGATGTGTTCATCAATGAGACACATATCATTGAAACATATTACCCTGATGAAAGCAGATATAGGCGAACAATTTATGTGTGCAGGTAATAAATAGGAAATGTTGGGAAATAAAATGCATTATCTAAATAGATTCATATCATTTCATACCCAATTGGGACTACAATAATGATATAAAACTATAAATTATAAAAAAATAACGCCCAATATCTTGTATTTTTTTATTCCTTTTATAATGTTATGGCTCTATGTAATCATATTTTAATTTTCGTTAATTAAAAGGGAACAACGTGACAGCAGAGTTATGATGGCTCGTCTCACCGTGGATGGCTGTCAAAAAGATTATGTATGCTTTGATTTTGTTCCACAACATCACAATGTTATAAGGTAAGATTAATATATACTAAATATTAAATGTTATTATTAAAAGCTCTTTGTTTTATGTATATAAAAATATTAAAATTTGCAGGTACCGGAAAGGTCTAGCCATGATTCAAAGTAATTTCCATACTGTTTGTTCTTGGGTACAATTTCCCAACAAGCAACAGTGGCGATACGATATTTTCCTCAAAAAAGATCCATCGCCAATACGTTGTCCAGTGGCAGGCAAATTTAACTTCACACAAAGAGGCGACGTGAGGTTTGAGACTAGGATTCTTGGTGGTGTCACATTAAGCCCTCGTCCAAACCTCTACTGCAAATTAAATATCAGTGATTTTTCCGTTTGTGATACAGATCAGAAAACAATACAGATAAAAGAAAACTATTGTTTGTCCGTGGATTATTTGGGCAGGCCTGTGGACATTTACAGTGATCCTGACTATCGCATGAAATGCATCGGATATTGGAAAGAGAATCTTAAGTCTTACCTTATTACATATGATGAGTTGGATCCATTTTCCAAGTACAGATGTTGGGTGTATCAGAGAGCTGATCTGAACAGGTAACAATAAAGTATTTTATTTATATTTTTCGATAACAATTTACTTGCGTTCCATTGATTATTAATAGCCTCTCTGGTAAAATCTCAATCTATTAACTTTTAAATCCTTATGCTTTTATTATAATATTTGTAAAAAGGATGCCTAACTGTTTATTACATTACAAGAGTACATATTTTCCCATTTTATAAATTGGTGTACTTGTATTTTAAGTTACAGCTTTGTATGTCAATTGTAGAATGTCAAATAGAATTTAGAGGTCTTTATTATTTGGATAACGAAAAACTTTCATAGATGGTGTTAGGGTAAAATAATCCCATGTTAACCTCAATTATTATAAAAATAGCAGCTACATAGCTTGGTTTCGCTTTGAAGGATGGTATCTGGTAGTGAATTAAAATTGTATCTAGGTGTAATATCGTAATCATGAATGCACAAGGGTTATACTATGGACATCATACTATATTCTGTAGTGTCTTTGGTGCTGTTCATGTCTATAAGCAACAGTTACCACATTCCATTAGGTTGGCCGTCAGTTTGTTTTTTATTCTAAATATCATAAAAAATGTAGAAGAGTTGTTAAAGGCATTGGTTAACTGTTGCCATTGTGGTGTATGTAAAAATACCTACATAAAATATACTATAAACTATTTAGAATAGTATTCTAAATTGATCATGTTCATCATTTAAGATTGTTTATTTTAATGATGTGTGATTAAAGTTTAGATTTTATTTCGCAGAGTACTCATGTCTCAGGCCCTGGGACCGTACTGTGATTTGAGACAAGATGTCACATCATGGAATTACACAGAGGGTGCTGCAGTTGCCATTGAAATGGAAGAATATGAGAGAGAGCGTGATCAGTGCCCCATGCACTTCGATGACGGCAGTGACCCTTGGTCTACTAAAGAGAACTATATAAAAGTATTTTCATTTAGTTATTCCTTTTGGAGGAGTAATAGTGCATCAATAGTTGAGATATGTTTTGGAACAGTACTAATGACAATTTTTATAACACTAATACAATAATAACACGATTTTAGAATATTTATATTTAGAAAACTCAGTCACTAATAAGTTCTAGTTAGATTTACAAAGCAATAAATTTTGAGCAGTAAATTGTTATATGCTACTAATTTCTGCTCTGATATTAGACTTGGTAATAATATAATTACATATATTTTTGTGTTCCATGATGAATTACGTGTTTACAGTATAAAAATACATATCTGTTACTTTTCTCCTATTTGGGGTAAGAATATTTACATACTTTCTAATATATATATACTTATATAAATAAATTTTTAACCAAACTAGTGCTAGTACAATGACATCACATAATATTTATAATTGTGCCTTAATATAGTAACATATCATTTGACTGTATTAGATTTAGATTTTATATGTATCTGATAATTAAGCAGCAAGTCTCAATGGGTGTTAAATGGAATCTCAATGTTTATTTTTAAGTATAGTATTTTTTTTATTTCAATACAAATAAGTTTAAATAATACCAATGGAAGTATTTTTATACAATCAACATGTAAAGTATCGGTTACTTGTGTTCTAGATTTAGAGACTTGAAAGAAGATCTTTGAATATTTAAGCTATATTTATAATTATTTTTGTGTTCTTATATTTAAGTAACAGGTACATATATTTAGTTTCTAAAGACTATCTTTATAAGTTTTATTTACGTATTTATTATACATTAGAATCTGTGCTTGTTGTAAATCGGAATTGATGAAAAAAGGTTGTTGCAATGAACTCTTTGTCCATTAATATATTTCATAAATTAACAAATTTAATTTGAGGTATACATGATTTAGATACATGCCATTTTACATATATCAATCAATATTATATGTAATATTTTTTACTGGTTGAGTTTAGAAATAATTTTCTTAAAAATTAAACAAAATCTTAATGTACACTTTTCCATTTCTTTATTGTTATTTACTAACTTGTTTGCTTGTTTTGTGGTAACAAATGGAACAACAAATTTGTTAAGCAGTATTGTAATGTAATACTTACATATTTTTTTCTTGCAAATACCTTTAACCTTTGTATACAGACATTTCACATGCTACACACATTTTTCTTATAAGATACTTAATCATTCCTAATTTGATGTTGCATTAACTCGTAGGTTTTTTATTTTTACACATATTTATTTAGATATTATTCAATTAGTATTGACCGAATCCGTCCAGCTGAAGTTTTACATTTTTTATTTATATTTTACAATTTTTATTATAATAAAGATATTTACATTGTAGTCTGTTTTTTATTTACTATCTCGAAAGGCCTTCGAAAATAAGTGATTTGTCCACAAATGACTACATTTTTCATTGATTGTTAGGAATTTGCCATTGACTCATTATAATTTTACTCACATGTGTATTATTTCAATGCTCTTGTAAAATTTCATAAATACAATACTTATAATGTATTTACATGAGAAAAACCTATAAATACAATATAATGAATTCTATAATAAAAAAGTATATAGGTAATTATTTCTTATTTGTGTAGATTTTAGTAATGTAAAGCATAATTATACTAATGGTACAATATCCTTTTTACCCTAATATATAACCTACAGCTATGTGTGAAGTAGGATTTAAATTATCAAAGAAAGTTAGTATGTTTATATAAGTTGTATTATGCTGAAATCTTTTGCTTTTCCGACCACTAGTGTTTTAAATTAGCATTATGTATTATATGATAATATTGTTTCAGAGCCTCAACTACAGTATTTAAATAGTAGTTTACATTAAAATGAGATGTGTGGATATATAAAATATTCCAAAGACAATTACAATTTATTAATATATTTTATTAGTTATACTGTACACATTTAAAAATTACTTATAAGACACACATACATAGTAAATATATATAGATTATTTTGTCCAAGATACTTTTGGGATATCAAAGTGTTCTGTTAGACTGTCCAGGTGTTGATTGAATTTTTCCACTCTTTGCTTGTGAGTCATTTCAGCTTTTTGCTTGATCCTTTGCTTTTGCTGAAATTGAAAATTAGTAATTATTAAGAGGAAATTATTAAATTAAGATATAACATACCATCTTTCTTAACAAAATTTATTAAAAAAAAGTAGTCATGAATAGTCATTATCAATAGTGTTGATTCTGAGATAACATTTCTCTAAATTTATCTTTAAAATCTTTAAGGACCAATATGAATTAAGTTTCTAACAGATTTAATTTAAATTTATTATAAATTTAATCTATGATGGTTTATAAAGTAGTGATTTTGCAAAACTATCAGCCTCTGGTCTGGGGGGGGGGGGATCTCCAAACACCTCCATTTATCTCATCTATATCCATATTCTGTGTATGTTTAAGTCTAAATGCACTTTTAAGATTTTAACTAAATAAACATAACCACATACATACAAATGTGAACTGAATAAAAAATTTATGAAATTACATCAACTTCTCAAGCTAAGCACCTTATTATTCATTATTTTTGAAACTTTTTTTTTCTTTTTACTGAAAAGCTTCATCTGCCATTGTTTATATTGATTTCAAGTGCGTTAGACTGTAAGTTCTCAATACCAATATATGTGGTAAGGGGAGAAAAAGATTGTTATTAATAGGATCTAACAGCTTTGTTGCTAGCAATCAGGTCCTTATACCATGCCCGTTGTGATAAATTCTTGTTGGATTTGTCATAATGGGCTAACTGGCCTGCTTTCATCCTCATTTATGATCTCTCACATGTGCCCTACCAGTGCATACAAATAGCGAATATGGAGTTACAATTCCATTTTCATGTGGAAAAAGACATGTTTTATAAGAAGTGTTTTGGTGGAATAGGGAAGTTAAAGGATACTAGTGATCTACGGTATCGTAAGTACCAGAAGGATTAGTAACACATTGTATTCTCACTCTATCAATTTAAATAATAGTCTTAACACATACCATCTTTTCTTGCATTTTTTGGAATGCAATTTCAGCCTTTGTACGTGTATCTTCCGGAGCTTGTTGTTTTAGCTGTTGTTTCACTTCAGCTTCCATCATTTTTTCTGTTTCTTTGTTGGTTTTCTTCTTCTTTTTCTTTTTGATTCCAGAATTGTCCTTGATTTTAAGTTGGCTTCGGTTCACGCACGCATATTCGTCTTCATCTACCATATTGTCTAGGTAAACCAATTATATAATTCAAGGCAATTATTTAAAGAACAATTGAAAGATAATTTATTTTCATTCAATAAAAGTAATAATTTGGTTCAATAACATAAAAGAAAATTATTTAAAGAAATTTATAAAACCATAATAAACAATCACAGAACTGTACAGATCATTTTTTTTTTTTAGTACGTTTGTTCCGTTTGGAACAGGCTAAGGTCGGAGACCATGCTGCCTAGTCTTCAAAAAGATAATTTGTCTGGAATTTTATTTTTCTAATGTCGCTTCAATTATTGTCATAATCTTCAATATTTCATTTGTCAAATCCGGTAAGTACATTTTCATAAATATCTTTTCTTGAGTTTTCTTAAACCAGTGGATTTATCAAATTAAAAATAAATAATTATAAAAAATCATTGTCTTGCAATTCAATAAAAGTATTCTTATAGCTCCTTGAATGTTGTAGTAATATAAGTGAAAATAGCTTTGAAACAAGAAGGAAATCTTAAGAGAAGCGGGATTGAGTGCGGGATATTTTCGGGTTTTTTGAAGATAATCCTAAGTTCGTCAAACATAATGTGTCTTTGAATGACAAATTCAGAGCAATCAAAAAAAAGGTGATGTAGAGATTGGGCTGTATTTGAGTTACACCATGTGCATGATGGGGAAGCGATCATGCCCATTCGGTGCAGGTGTTCGTTGAAATGTCCGTGGCCGATTCGTAATCTACAAATATTGGTGTAAAATTTTCTGTTTGTGTCCTTTCCTTTGCAGAACCACGGTTTTCCAATACGCCAATTAATTTTGCGGTACCATTTGCCTTTAGTCTGTAATATTTGAGTCCAATGCTCCTCCCATTTAGTTGTAACGATTTTATGTATTCCAATACTACAATCTGAGTAACAAAGGGGTAAATCTTGAACACGAGCAGCACTTGAATTAATAATTTTAGCCAAAGTGTCTACTTGTTCATTCCCAAACACTCCAATATGTGAAGGGGTCCAGATGAAGATAATATCTTTTCCATATATAGTACAGAGATGATAATATTTATTACGAATTTCTTGAATTAAGTAGTTTGATGATGAAATGAATGTGTTATTTTTTAATGCCATAAGAACACTCATACTATCTGTAATTATAATCCATTTCGAATATAGTACCTGTTTTTCTATGTATTCTAATGCTAAAAATATAGCTTTTGCTTCTGCTGTGTAAATACTAGCCAAAGTTGAAATTTTATAACCGTGACCAAATCTATTTGACAAATCGTAAAAAGCCACTGAAGTGCTAAGTGCATTTTTGGAACCATCTGTATATATCTGCCTGTAGTCAATAAATTCTGATAAAGTCTCATACATATCGTGCTTTTCTTTTATGTCTTTACGTATAACAATTTTGATCTTACAGAACTTACTCTCATAAAGGCCATTATAACAAGGAAGTATCTTACTACTATAGATGTTATATTCATCTCGTAAATTCAAATCATTGACAATAGTTTTATTCAAAAACATAGAAATGGGGCAATTTAATAATTTGAGTATGAGTGGGTTATTGGAAACTGAAAAAACTTTGAAGAGAAATTTGAGTTTTAGGTATTCGAAACGAAGAAGGATAGGAGGCAAATTACATTCTACTTGCATTGAGATAATTGGAGAAGTATACATAGCACCTAAAATAAGTCTTAAATTCATATTTTGAATTTTTTCGAGTTTTTCTACTAATTTATGTTCTGAGGCATAACAAAAGAAAGCGTAATCAAAATTACTTCTAACAAGAGATTTGTAAAGTAAAAGGATAATTTTAGGATCAGCTCCCCAGTTACGACCAATTACAGATCTTATTATATTAGTGGCTCTTAAAGCACGATCTACTAAGCAATCAACGTATAGATCCCATTTTAAATTTTGATGAAAAATTACCCCCAGAAATTTAACGCTACAGTCTGTTGGAAGAGTTTGATTATTATATATAATATTCATTAATGGAACATATTTATGAACTTGATGAAAAACAACTACTTTACTTTTGGTTAAACTAATATCGAGGGAAAGAAGAGAAAAATATTTCTCAAGTCTTTTTAATGACTCATTTAACACTAATTGCATATCAATAATATTCTTTCCTTTTATATAAATTAATAAATCATCGGCAAATTGCAAGTTGTTCACACTGTTTCCTAAAATTGAATTAAGTTTATAGATATATAAAATATATAGTAGCGGGCTTAGAATACCACCTTGACATACTCCTTTAGAGCTTAACCTAGGTCCTATTAATTTACTATTTACTTTAACATACACTTCTCTATTACTAAGAAAATTATAAATCCATTCGATAAGTTTCATTGGAAGAAATGAGGATAAAATCGAAGATAGAACTGTTAAATTTACATTGTTAAAAGCTCCTACGACATCTAAAAAAACAGATAGAACATATTCATCGTTATTCAAAGCAGTACTAAGGTCGACATAGAAGTTCGCTAAACTTTCGCGCGCTGAATATCCACGGCGAAAACCAAATTGATTCGATGGTAATATACTATTACTTTCAATAAAGAACTCTAAACGCTGTTTAATTAATTGTTCGAATAATTTGCACAGGACGTCAATGTTATAGGTCTATAGGAGTCGAAATTTGTAGGATCTTTACCGGGTTTAATTACTGGAATCAAACAATCCATTTTCCATTCTGGTGGGATAATACAGTCCTTCCATAAATCGTTAAAAATTTGTAAGAGTTTAGTAAGGTTTATTTTATTCAGCAATCGAAACATATTGTATGTTAAGCGATCAAGGCCACTAGCTGTATCTTTTCTAGATTTTACTGCACTGGATATTTCATCAATTGAGAATGGGTCAGTGAGAAATTTTGGGCATGAATTAACAGAATTAAACTGTTTGTCATCAAAAGGTGAGTGTACAAAATCAGGAGTATATTTGCGTAAAAAATCATTGACCCATGATATATCTTTAAAATGATTTTGACGATGTTTTGAATTTAGTTTTCTCATATTTTGCCAAACAGTGGAAATTGGTGTTAATCTATTAAATTTGGAACAAAATTCCTGCCACCCCTGTTGTCTCACTTGCTTAATTACTAACTTTTTAACAGCTTGAACTCTTTTAAAATTTATGTAATTATCGAGAGTTGGATTTTGTTTAAACCTAAGGTAAGCCGCTTCACTATCATTGACAGCTGTCGCACACCTGTTATCCCACCAAGGTACTGCAATATGTTTGTGCCTCTTTGAAGTATTTGCACCGCTATTTGATAAGTTCCTACGTGGAACGGAACGTTCCACAGCTGTCAAAATAATTTTACAGAACCTATTGTAATTGTTTAAGGGTTCATTGACATCATACTCGAAATCCAAAAGTAATTGATTAACAGTTTCAGAATAAAGATCCCAATTAACGAGACGTAGGTTTATACGATTTAACAAAAGTTTATTAACTTCATCTATAGGAGCATGTTGTTCACCTGACGGAGTTGATGAAGAGTTCTTTGTGTTTATTTTAGTAAAAGTCGGCAGGTGATAACTTCCTAACGGATCATCATGAACCGACCACTCGCATTTTAATGATATGGATGGGGATACCATAGTTAAATCAAGGCCATTGGGTCTCCAAATATGAGAGCCAACAGTAGTAACTTGCTTATCATTTAATAGTACCAAATTACATTCATCTAAACAATCAAGAATGTCTTTACCTCTTGTATTAGTGGAGGTACAACCCCACATAGTATGATGTGCATTTAAATCTCCAGATATGATAGTGGGTTTAGGAAGAGACTCTAAAAAGAACTTAAATTTGGCTTTAGTAAAACTAGGTGTACTATTGGTAGGACAGTAAATACTGGCAACTGAATACCAAGAATTATTAACTTCAATACTAATAGCTATAGTTTGCAAAGAATTGTCGAAAAAAGAGTGAAGTTTTTTATATCTAATACTATTATGTATAATAATCGCTACTCCATTGTGGTTATTACCACAATCATTTCGTTCTATACAATAATCTTTAATTTTTAATTTGTAATGTGGTTTTAGCCAAGTTTCTGAGATGAGAGCAATGTGAATATGATGTTCATTTAAAAATTGTGTAAAAATAAGTCGATTGCTCAGTAGGCTCTGAGCGTTCCACTGTATGATAGTTAATTGGTCTCGATTGAATTTTGTGAAATAGGTGTATTACCAAAAGTATCATATAACACATTCAAAACACTTTTAGTGTTAATAGATGTGTTCTTTGTGTTATGTAGTGAAATAAGTTTGATTATGCTTTCTATTAAAAGTGATAAACTCTTGTTATCAGAATTTAGAATTGAAATTAGGTCTACATTTTTTTTAGGTTTGTTACCCAGTTTAGGAAATATTTCAGTGCTAAGTATATCTCCAAAAGAAGCAGGTCTGAATTTAGATCTATTTTCAGCAATTTTCTTTTGTTTAACAGGGCATTGCGGTGATACACTTGTGTGATTTCCATTGCAGTGTACACAAATAGCGTTTTCCATTCCAGTTGTACAAGTTTTATAATTATGCTCACCTTTGCAGATGCTGCAACGCTCAGAATTCTTACAGAATTTAGCTAAATGTCCATACCTCAAGCACCGGTAGCATTGTTTAACTGGTGGTATATATGGAGTGACATTGTGGCGCCAACCTCCAATATCCAGATATTCAGGTAATACAGATGCAGCAAAAGTAATTGTCACGGTTAGAGTTGGCTGTAACACATATCCATGAGTCAAGGTATTTTTTCTTAAAATTCTTTTAATAGCAATAATTTTCTTAGAACTCGATATCATAGTATATATTTTTTTATTAGATATATTTGTAGGTACATTTCTAATAACGCCTGTAACTTCTGTTGAAGAAGCAGGAATACTGGCCTTAAAATGGTAGTCATTTAAAAAAGTTTTATTATTTAAAAAAGCATTGGCTAAGTCTGGCTTTTGAAAGTATACTCCGATTTTGAATTTATTTATAGATCTAAGATAAGTTACCCCTTTATTAAAACGTTTTAAACAGGAGGAGAGTGAGAGCAAGTCTCTGGATCCAATGGTTTTCTGACTATCTGAGGATTCTACAAAGACAACAAATTCTGTCCCAGGGGATTCCTCGGGATATCTTCTAATATAATCTGTGACGTAGTAAGGTTTATAC